CTGTTCTCTCTCATTCAGTTCTTGAATTGCTTTTTTCTTCCCTGCCTCTACATTCTTTCTCCATCTCTCACGTTCACTTTGTAGGTATCTCTCCCTTCTTTCAGGATCAGCTTTAAGGCGTTCCCAATACATTCTCTGACTTTCTGCTGCTGTTGTTGGTGCCATCTTACTCACAACTTTTACATTAAATATAAATCACATTCAGCATGCAAATGTTGATAAAAAATGTTGATAAAATATAATAATCATCAATCTAAACAATTGCTTAACCAACTTAACCAAAGTAATAAAACCTCAACCCCGTCACAATCTCAGAACCCCATTCATCCATCCATCCATTATCAATACCGCTTATTCCCTGATGGGGTCGTGGGGGGAACTGGAGCCTATCCCAGTGGTCAACGGGCGAGAGGCAGGGTACACCCTGGACAGTCCGCCAGTCCATCGCAGGGCCACACACAGGACATACAAGGACAAACAACCACTCACACTCACATTCACTCCTAAGGGCAATTTCCCCAATCTCCAATCACTCCTAAGGGCAATTTCCCCAATCTCCAATCAACCTAACATGCAGGTTTTTGGACTGTGGGAGGAAGCCGGAGAACCCGGAGAGAACCCACGCAGACACAGGGAGAACATGCAAACTCCACCCAGAAAGGTCCTGGTTCCCCCGGGATTCGAACCCAGAACCCTCTTGCTGGGAGGCGAAACCACACCACCGCGCCGCCCCATATCTCACAACCCCGTTACAATCAAACACATAATGGGGTTGAGTGTGATGGGGTTGAGATTTTTGCACAAAATGGCTACTACTCAATGTAATGAATGCAAAAAATGAGCACATGGCATGGATGAAATTCAGAATTTGCAAATTTTCTTAAAATAACAAAAAAAAAGTATTAGTTTCCTATCTTCTTTTTATGCAACAGTGTTGAGTCATTTAGTTTAATGATTTAGTTTCAACGATGGAATTGGAGGAAAATATGGGAGCAACTTGCCTGTCTCTGTGGCCCAGTTGTCCAAAAGACTTCAGTGTTGTCACTTCCTGATGTATGATTTATGGATCATAACATTCTATTTTTGAAGGTGAGTTAATTTGTGAATCACGGTTGTGGGGTGGCTCAGGGACAGAAGTCATGTGATCTTTAAATCATATTTGATTATTTATTTTGGAGAAAAAAAATCAATAGGCTACCAGTAAAAGAGCATAAATATATTTTGATATTGATATAAAAATGTATGGACTTTTTGAATAGTTTTTGTTGGTACTTTTAAAGTAAACCATCATGGCCATGAGGGACATAGAAAAAGGGTGGTCAAATTAAAAAAGTTAATAATTTATCATAAAAGAAACCATTTCTTTCAGGTTTTTATACTACACTAAAGAATGCATTTCAATGTGTTAAGCTGTTTAAATAAAAAGTTTAGTTACCCAGTAAATTAAATGCACCTTAAGAGGTTAGAAGGACTCAAAATGTGCCACGAATGACTATAAGGCTTTGACAAGGCGTGACAGAAAAAGATAGGTTTATGTAGGGAGTGATTAACAGAAGGTAGAGCAGGTAAGAATGGAAGCACATGAATGATTAAATTCAGAGGAAACGGACGGGCCTGTATGAAACTCGTAGAGATACAGGGAAACAGGAAGCAAAAACAGACATAAAAATAAAAGCACCTTAAAACGGAATCAAATTAAGAACATGACTGTGACGCTATGATGTGTAATTCAGGTCAGCGACCAATTATATAAATTGCCATCATGATGTGTTCTGTTTACATGTTGCAAATGAAAACACAGGCAAAGAGGAAGGCATTCCTCCCCTTCCATGGTGAGCTTGTTATTTATCTATAGTTACATAAGTATGCGTGTGTGGGTGTGTCTTGGGGGGGGTGGTTGGTATTATGTGTGCCTGAGTTACTCTATCATTCAGAAATTTCATAAACAGTTTCTGAGAGCATTTCTCCTAAATATTTTTTGCAGTTAAATGATTGCCATGGTATTTATCATTCGAGTTTATTAGCAATCACCATTAAGTGAAACAATGTGAAATAATGTGTTTGAAAAGTTATGTACATGTATCTATTCATTTTTATGGCTACTATTTGTTTTTGCTATGCTGCTGGCCTGTTAATTTTCAATGATTCATTGCTTTTCGCAAAATGTCACTCAGATGGTGAGAAAAGACAAGTTTACTTTGGGGAGAAAGTATTCCTGGGTTCCTATATCTTGGTTTATTCCCCCATTTTAGCCTTACGTGTAAGTGGAAAAGTGAAGTCAAGAAGGACATTTGCCTGAGGAGGATCTGCTTCCACCTGAGATTTTTTTTTTCTAATCATAGAAAAAAACCTTACTATCAGGCTGAACAAGGTTTCAATCTTAAAATTGTGGTGTAATTAGTTTTATGGCATGATTTGCTCAGAATCTGGTTACATAACGTGACATTTGGAGCTGATTATTTACAAGTGTTCACGACCTGCTGATAGCTTGTTGTCTTCAAGTTTTAATGACATTTTGTGATCATCTCACTGCCAAATTCAAACACTATGCACTTATTGGACATGCGGCATTGTGACTGCATGAAGCGGAAAGTTCTCATTCCTAACAAATGCTGTATTCTGCAGAGTTAATCGAAATATTGACTTGGATCTGTATGTCCACTTTGTAATATAGCTATATAAGATATAGATCAACAATTTTCTGAAGACTAAAATGCACATCTTTTGACTTCTTCAGCAACTAACACTGTATGTAATTGAATAACCAACCCACTAACCATCAAAGGATCATATCAGTATTGTTAACCGATGACAAAGCTCCTTCCGAATAATTTCTTTGCAAACAACATAACCAAGTATTTCCAAGCCCTTACATATTTGGTTTAAGTTTGATCATCAACCAAACTACCAATTTTTTCCTTAACAAGTTATTATATATGGTAGTGGGGAATAAAGAGAGTTGTGACATGAGAGCTCAAACCCCAGATATGGGAGATGTTAATTCACTCGTTCATCTTTTTGAAGTTAGAGATACAGCAGACCTAAACGCTTTTGTCCCTTCCTGGTTGTTTTAGGAATTATAGTGTTTTCCTTGATTCAAATCCAAAAGCAAAACTACTCAGCCAGGGGCAGAAAACCATTATGGCTATGACAAAGACATTCTCTTTTTACAATGCAACTATCCTGTTGAACCTGTGGAGAGTTAGCCATGTGTGGATTGTGAAAAATTGGTCACATTCTTCTGTGCTTTTTAATTTTGTTGTTTGTGCTGTGGAACGGGATTCCTTCCCCCTTACATTGCGGTTAGGCTTATGTAGATACAAATGGTGTTGCTGATGTGTTCTCTTCCTGATGCATTTTATACGTGCTGCGTTAGTCTAGGATTGAAACTTGTTATTAAAATGTTTTGTCTTCCAGGTCAGATTTCCATAAATATTGATGTCTAACACATGATAGATCTTAATGTTTTTGGTGGCTTTGCTTTTGTCGGATTGTGTAAATGTTTCTTGTTTTATTTTTCATTCAATGTGGCTATAGTATTTTTCTCACACCATTGACTATGCGATCAAAATGTAAATTAGCTTTGCAAATAGACATGATGTTTATGATCAACCCCAGTTATACCTCCTTAAATAGATAATGCCACTTGACTATAGTGCTATGTGACACTGACAACTCTAGACTTTGCTCTGCAATCTGTGTTCTCACTTACAGCCACAAGATGAAATCTAACATTGTAGGTTAAAGTGCATATAAAGATTTACAATACTGCAATTAAGGCTCTTATCACACAAAGAACTGTGTCAAATCAGAGCCACAAAGTTAAGTCAGAGTCAGCCATATTCTCTGCTCTAAGCAGATACACTGGAATTCATTCTCAAGCAAGCACTATTGTTTATACCAGCTCAGCTACTGCTGATGGAAGATTCAATTAAATATATGCATGTAAAATATACTGTATTGCATTTATGCATTTTAGTAAAACGAAAGTTAGTAAACAGCCTTAGAAAAATGACAAATTAAGGGATTTCTAAAAATTGTCATCTGAATAGCATGGACAGAGAGAATTACCTGTTTACTGCATTTACATATATATATATATATATATATATATATATATATATGGATACAATTATTCCAAAATGTAGAATAAGATTATTGATATAGTGCTGGATCATCAGATTGAAACTTAACCCCATTTTTTTATTGATGATTTTTTAAATAAAAAATATGAAATATGAAACTTGTAGGTACAGTAACCACTGTACATTTTGTTGAGATTAAAGTATAATAGATCCAATTTAAGATTGAAAAAATCCTTTAATTTTTCATTCTCACGGTAAAAGTCTCATATGCAATATCATTTCAACGATTAACTTTCCAAACGCAAATGTATCTCTGAAGTCATTCAGAAGACAACTGTTTCCTCTTTCCACTCCAAGTAGCCTTCTTTTTTTTAAGAAGTTTGTGTTTAGTAAAGGTTAGAGATGTTTCTGCCAGACAACGCTTTAAGATACCAATCATGTGCCCTAGGTTTTCTTGGACTGGGTAATTCCTCTTTTATCCTCTAAGCATCCAGTTCCCTTCATTTATTTAAGGACACACTGCACACCATGTTGAAATTTCATCCAAAATTGTCAAGTTGTCATTTTGGAGCAAAAATATCATTTGACATCTGTCAAATTGTGTTGTCTTTGGCAGTTGGGTTTAGGTTATATTTTCTTAGTCGTACTTTATGTGTACACACAACACTTCTTGATGAATTTCTTGAATTATTAAAAGCTATTTACAAATGGTTAGAATGGTTAAGAAGGATAAAAAAACAGAACAGGGGAGAATTCCCCATAATCTTATGATTTTGCTTTCGAGGGTTGTTTGTGTCAAACTTTTCCTCTTCTTTTGTGTGGCTTCTGGGAACCAAGATATCCAACCGAAGCGTCCTACAGACTGCAGCGAGAGGCTACTCTAGGCACATAATCTGTTGTTTAAATGTTTCCTACAGCACCTAAAGGCAACACCCGTCTACTCTGTTGAGGGCTGGACGTGCACGCGATAAAGCTCCAGCGCATGCCATCAGTGTTATTGCTGAGGAGTTGCGCACAAGTTAAGGGCTGTAAGGACAGACAGACTCCCTGCTTGGACACACGAGCTTAAACCCAATATCCTTTCAGCTGATCGTCCACGCCAGAAGGATTCCACTTTCTCCAACACTCAACAACGCCGACATGCCGTCTCTGCGTCACTCCTACACGGTGACATTACCGGAGGATTTCCCCATCGACAAGCCGGAGCTGCGGCGTAAGAGCCCGCCACTGTCCCGGTCCATGCTGATGTCAACGTTCATGGGTCTGATAATTAACCCAGTCAAGGTGAGTCCAGAACCACAACATTTCTGCCTCGCCCTCCCTCTCAACCTCACCTTTGTGTTGTTTTTTAAGCATCCTTCGCTGGCATTTAGGAGAAATGGCACTTTAAATGTAATCATGTTCTTAATCCATACTAATCATATCGAAAACAAAAACAATTAAGCAGAAATGATCTATTTTTCGTTGAAAGTTTGTTTAAATTATTTTTTTAAGTAGGACACAGGGCCAGTGTTGTATGTATTGACACTTGATACTGCCTGAATGTCTAATACCACTGTAGATTGTCTATGTATCATAATTCAATCAGGTTAGAGAAAAATTCTTAAGGAACTTCTTTTATGTGAAAGACCTGACAAACTCTAATGATCACCAAAGTCAGTAAAGGCTCATTGATGGGGAAACACTAGGTATACACACACACAATGACAGACAGCAAGCCCCCCTACAGTGAAGCAGGTTAACACCATAGTTGCCTGCATCAACCCAACAACTCAAGTGTGGTGCTGGTTGCATAATGGGAGGCGAAACTGCTGATAAGGAACGTGTCTGAGGAAGTGCAGCTTATCGCAGGACATTTAGTTTCACACAGGTTTGCCCACAGTCAGCACATATTTGTGTCCACATGGGTTTGAGCCTGATGTCGCAGGTTAACACATCAATGCTCCCAGGCTCCAACGCCTGACTCAACACTATACACCTTGTATTTTGCAGCGTTTTAACTGGCAAGTAATTTAGTAAACTTAATCCCCAAATTATTCCTAATATTATTATTATTTATCTGTATAATTTTATTTAATCAAATTGGCTTACATTGTGTCTCAGTGAGCTCAAACTAGAAACATCACACTTGTACATTTCAATCAGTGAGATGCAGTGTGTTTCGATTTTTTATCTTTTTTCACAGCCAGATTTGCCACTTTCCCTGTATGGTAAGGAGTGCCAGAGCTGGCACCGTGTATGCCGGAACCTTCATCACATGTTACTCAGCCCCGCATGCATCGCAGGTTCAGAACATTACGTTCTGTGGCTCTTTGAAGTCCTGCCAACTAGTGGAGGGCATTCTTGTTCAAAGCTAAGAGACTACCTGAATGCATTACGTCCTCTGATTTTGGACGGGTCTCTCTAAATCAGATGGGGCCTGCTGAGTTTACCAAGTTGGGTATCATTACCATATGGTCAAATCTAAATTGCAGCAGAGAAGAGAAATAAAAGAAAGAGATAATAAAAAAAAAGGAATCTGACAGATTTCTAGAGCATCACTGGCCTGTTTTGAAGGTTCAAGATACGATGAATGATCTCGTCCATGAGGACTTTAAAGGTCATTCAGTAAAAAGCACATTTTAAGAAAAAGAAAATCAAGTGAAACATGTTGTTGATGCTTTTCCTTAGTTCCCAGTGTGCCTCTGCACATTTATGCTTCCATCAATGAGCTTCTTTGACAGTATTGTATCCACGTGGAGCTCCATCAGAGGGGCTGCTGCGTATCATGGCTTCATTACGGAAGTATTCACAAATTGTTGTGTAAAGGACCTTTTTAGTGACAGCAATGTTATTCATTGTTATATTATTGTTATATTCATTGTTCTTGTTGACATCAGTCTTAGAATAATGGGGGAATTAGTTTGAATGACTATTACGTTTTCATATCCTGTAAGAATCCATCAAGTTCCTAAAAATAAGGCTAAAGTCCTGCTTTTTTAACTCTAATAATCTTGTTGTTTTACAACTGGTTCACTTGTTTCATTTACTTGCTTCTTTAAGTAAATCCTTTCAACTTCCTTTCTAATCAGAATCACTACATTTACTGCATTTGACTGTGAATCAGTCCACATTTAGACACATTAGTCAGTCTTACTTTAAGCGATTTTGATCTCATTCTGTAGTGTTTAATACATTTTTTTTTTTTTTAGATTAAAGAACGTAGTTTGTGTGACTAAAACTGTGATGAAAACAGAATAGACATTTCTTGTGACTCATACTGGGCGCAGTTATACAGAAACTACCAAGCTGTACAAGAAAAATTTAACTTTCAGCTCATGTGCAAGAGGCTTGCTGACCCTTACAGTGACCCACATATCAATAACACTACACCAACAGAGACATCAGAGCTGTGCTAAAGCAAACTATATGATCCATTACTCAAACACTGATGCAAAATTTCACACTTCAACACTATACTGTGTTCCACACATTCATAAGGGAACTTTTCCCTTTGATCCCTGTCACATGCTGGCGCGATGTCACAAACATATGAGCAGCGCCATTTCTTCAGGGCATTCGAAACCGCCTTTGAGATCACAAAACATCCATACCAACAATGTGACTGTCACACTGAGTGGAGTGCAATGAATGCATGGAATAAATGCCATGCAGTCCTGTGAGGTGACTTGTGCTTGAAGAATTTAGCATTGTTGCTGCTGTACTGCCGTTTGATTACAGCTGGCAAAGTAGAAACAAATTTCTCTTCAGTCACAGCTGGATACTTTTTCGGTAAAAACTACCATCTTAGGAACAGCAAGTTTAGGGTTCAAATCATGACTGGGCAACTATCCAGTAAGGGACCTGAGGCTGGACCCCTGCATGCCTCCCTAAGCCTACGTCAGTTGTAATGTTGTGTGTTGTAAGTCGCTTACGATAAAAGTGTCTGTTATAAACCGTTTCAACTTTTGAAATCTTTGGTAGTTGGTTGTCTCGAAGTGTAGCCATACAGAGACTACTAAGCTGTTTCAGAAAACCTCCGGACTTGTATTGGTCATATGTGGAAATAACTGAGTATATTTTACAAGATGGTTTAAACATATTCTTCCAAATTGTCATAGTCAACACAAATTATTTTCAAGCTTCTAAGTTGAACTTTTTCTGTTTCCTAAAATCTTCAAAAGCTAAAATTGCCTGTTTTTGTGTTCAAAACAGAACAAGAATCTTCAGGGATTAGTGGGTTTAAAAAACCTGGGAAACACAGTAAGTGTCAACTCATGCTCATGCTATAACTTCAAACCACCCATCCTCTCCTACATCCTCTTTAACCCCTGTGTTTTTGTTTCCAGTGTTTTATGAACTCTATCCTGCAGTGTTTGAGCAACACAGCAGAGCTGAAAGACTACTGCCTGAGGAACATCCACCGCACAGACCTCCACAACAGCAAGACAAAGTCCGCTCTCATGGAAGGTAAGATTTAGGAAACCGCACATCAACTGACTGGTGACGAATGCCACAGACCGTCCTTGTTCATTTGCCTAAGCCAACCCATGCAACTGCTGTTGGCTCACATGAACTCTTCCATAATTCATCCCAGAACACACACCTTTTGACTTTCGTCATAAGATCTGGTGGTCCAGTTTTTTTCCCAAAACTAATTGTAAGTAAATGTCTCCACAAAAGGGATTTTTTTGTAAAAAAATAAAATAAAAAAAAATAGCCAGTTTACTTTTAAAAGCTCTTATGGTGCTTTCAGCCTCACATTCATTAATTCATGGTTTCAGCTCAGGTGAGAGAGCCTGTCACATTTACTGAGTAACTGAGTCTGGGACATGGGTATTAAGCTCTTTTGGGATGCTTAGGGATCTTGGGGATTTTGGAGGTTGGGTAAATGTTTTGGCTTCTCAGTCTTATCTGAGCAGCAACATGGGGAGATGTAAAACTTTCTGGGGGAGGCAGCTACAATAGGATGGTAAATGATAAAGTATTATCCACATTTTTGGACAGCAAGGCTCTCTATCACAGTGGTTAGTGTTAGATAACAGTTGACTTTGAGCTGTGGGTGACCTTTAAGTCATAATAATAAAAAGAGCTTTTTCTTCCTCACATTTTGTCTTACTGCTTCAGAGTTCGCCAGACTGACTCAGAGTCTGTGGACATCCGTGAACAACGATGCCATTAGTCCCTCTGATTTCAGAAGCCAGATCCAGAGATTTGCTCCAAAATTTGTCGGCTGCAAGTAAGCCCTTCTCGAGTTTAGTGTATATAACCAAGCATTGTTTGAAGTATGGAATGACTGGGCATCTTCATATCTACAGTCAGCAGGATGCTCAGGAGTTTCTGCGCTTCTTACTGGATGGCCTCCATAACGAAGTGAACAGAGTGACGATACGCCCAAAGGAGTCTGTGGAGGACTTTGACCACCTCACGTATGTTAACACATCAGAGACTCTTTTCTAACCTGACAAGACTCTGCCACACTTCACTGTTAATAAAGCTTTGTTGCATGTGTCATTGGACTTGAGTTTTTCAAAATTGGGGGAATGTGAACTGTGAATTTGTTTAAAAGGATCTTATTCATTATTCTTATCCACCCAGCACTAAAAACCCAGTAATTAGGGGCTTTGAAGTAAACTGATTTGGTTTCATTTGCAGGGATGCTGAAAAAGGCAGGCAGATGTGGAATCTGTACTTGCAGAGGGAGGATAGCAAAGTTGTTGGTAAGTGTCTTTTGGATAATTATCTTAAAAATTATTGTACAAAATTGTAGTTTATTGTCCTTTCTATCCTGCCTACAGACCTCTTTGCGGGGCAACTGAAAAGCTGTTTGACGTGCACCACCTGTGGCTTCCACTCTGCTATGTTTGATCCATTTTGGGACCTCTCCATACCCATTGCACAGGTCTGGTCATGGTCTTATTTTCTTTGTTGTCCCCAAATGGCAGACCACAAACAAAATGTTAGAATTTGAATGGAAATCATGGACCAAACCATTTTTTCAACTGTATTTTTTTGTTATGAGAATTTCAAGCTGTAATCACATACAAAGCTCTTAGTAAAGGGTAAAATAAAAGAGCTGAGATGAAAATGTTTTCTGAATGGATGTTCTCTGTGACCCTGCAGAGAAGCTCACAGGAAGTAACCCTTAAAGACTGCCTGAGACTCTTTACAAAAGAAGATGTTCTGGATGGAGAGGAGAGACCGGTAAGAGATACCTACCAATCTATATATAATGTATATACAATGTGAATATATGAACGTAATGATGATATTTCTTATTCTTATGATACTTCACTGTTTTCCTCATAGAAATGTGACAGATGCAAAGTCAGACGAAAATTCACCAAGAGGTTCACCATCCAGAAGTTTCCTCAGATCCTTGTACTCCGTATCCTTTCCTCACTGTTTTGCAGCATGCTGATCTATTTGAGGAAATCTTTTGATCTTCCTGTCAGGATAAATATTTCCTTTTCACAAAGGAAATACCTAGAATGTAGAATAAAGTTTACTGACCTGATTGGTTTAAAGTACAGAAGTACTGTACATGTGAAGAAAGATCTGATTTATAATATCTCACACCCAGTTCAGTCATCTAATTTTGAATTAGTTAATGTTTCTTAACTTTTCTCCATCTTCAGATCTGAAACGCTTCACAGACTCTAATATCCGATCTAGCAAACTCTCCACTTTTGTCAACTTTCCTCTCAAAGATCTGGACTTACGGGAGTTTGCTGCGGAGGGCAGTGGTAAGTTTCTGCCAGAGAAGAGGAGGGAGGGCAGCTGTGTTAGAGCGAGAGCTTTTTAAGGTCAAATGTTGTGTCTTCCTACAGATTGCCCAGTGTATAACCTGTACGCTGTATCCAACCACACTGGAAACACCCTGGGAGGCCATTACACAGCTTACTGCAAGAACCTGGTTCTGGGGGAGTGGTACAGCTACAATGACTCAAGGTATCAGGTCTCATGCCATCAAGTTACTTTATGTATCATCTTATCAGATGGGCAGAAAGCTTTACAGCTTTGCTGTAGGTACCTGCTGTCAAATGAAAATTAGCTTTTTCTTTCTGTGGTTTGTTTGAATCAAATGAGCAGACTAGTTGAAGTTGTAACTTTATAAACCTGGTGACTCTTTTGTGGTTGGACCAGTATTAAGAAGTATATGTAAATGGTTAAAGATGTGTTCATTGACAGTATTGTTCACTGCTGTGTGTTATGGACAGGGTGAGCCCCATCACTTCAAGCCAAGTTCGCAGCTGCAATGCCTACGTCCTGTTCTATGAGCTGGCCAACCCCTCACACCCGAAGTATCAGATGTGTCGGTTGTAGACACGGTGGACTGCAAAAGAAAAGGTGTTTTTAACAGAGTCTGAATTTGAAATTTGGACACTGCCTATAGGGAGACAGGCCCACCAAGTGGAGAGTCCTGCCATTAGAAAGCGTGAATATGGAAAAAGAGCACCCTCTGTCTTTCATCCTGGTGATTTGAAAAATTCAGCCTCTAGCACAACAGTAAGAGAACTTTTCACTCTGAAACAGTGAATTCAAAACAAAAAAAGAGATGTATACCTTCTCTTATCAGATGTTTGTATTTATTTCTCATTATGTCACATTAGTGTGCAAATAACTGCCTTAAAAATGGAAATTGTATAATTTATTGTATTTAAAATGATGTCAGCTCTTCAGGATTGCATTCAGTGTGTAATTTAACAAAGCCATGCTTCCTTACATTTTATGACAAAGAACATTTTATTTTCGTATCGTATTTATGAACAGTAGCAGAGAGTAATGTGGAAAATTGATACCAAAGCAGCTGTGTGAATGTACAAATACTTCTTGGAGATAAGATGTGTCTGACTTTGCATCTATTTCACTTAAGTCAGTAAATCAATTAAATTAATCTTTTATACTCACAATATGTTTGTATTTAAGCACTATTTGTCCCGACGGAGTAAAAAGGCTTGAAACCAAAAAGTATTTATCACAACCATTTGGCCTGAGCTAGTACAGTTTCAGATGGAACACTACTGTGGAAGTTATAATCTTCAACAAATGTTCTGAAAACTTAATATCTTCTCGTTTAAGTTAGTTGTTGGAGTTCATATCAAACACATCCAGTTTAGTTAAAGCAATATATATATGTAAAAAATATGTATGTAAAAACGTATTTTTGGTCTTTCTAAATCAATTGCTTCCTCAAGACTTTTTGGTGTCCCAGAAAACAAAATGTAGTTTGTTTGTTTTTTGGATGTTTCTACAGTTATTTGAATTAGTCATATGTTTACAAGTTTCTTTATAGTTTTAGGTGTTGTTTAAGCAGGTGGTTTGACAGAAGTGATCAAATGGAAGTAGCTCTTACAGTACAACAGTCCCAAAAGGTTTGTTAAACCCTTCTTCAAACTATTTGGAGTCCATAGTGCTACAGAGTCAAAGATTATTTACAAGTGGGAACTTCCAAGACTTGTCAGAATTCAAAGGAGTAGATTTCCCAGCAAGTTCATCAGATAATCCTCCATGACAAATTCAAAAGCTACATCTCAGACTCTACAAGCCTTAGTGTATTAAATGTTTGCGTATTGTCTGCAGCTTAAACGGATGTATAAATTGTTCAAAGCAAAAACATTTAAGAAAAACACATTCCTAAGTTAGAGCATCAATGAGAAGCTGAAGGGATATGGATAAACTATATTCTGGTGATATGCGTATGGATTTTGGCTTTGTTTTGCAACCGCAGGACCTGGACATCTTGCTCTCTGGTCTGACAGCTAAAGCTTGCTCAGATGGCAAAACAGTATTTTTTTTAAGACTCAGCCTCAAATCTACAACAGAATGTATGAAAAAGAAAATATTTAAGGTCCTGCAATGGCACAGTTAAAGTCCAGACCCCAACCTCAATGAAAAGCTGTGTCTGGGCCTTAAGAGAGCTGTGCGGAAACTAATGCTACAAGCACTGATGAACTGAATAAAAGTTGTAAAGAAGAGTATGCTTTACCCAATGCATTGTTAAAATATCTAACTTCACTTTTTTGGGATAAATAAAGTCTAATTGAACAAAATTCAATACACTTATACACAGGATTTGAAAAAATGTGTTGTACATATCCAGGCTGTTCCCTCATTGTACATTGAATTTGTTTGATTTTTTTCTTAGTTTTTCCTTTCTGCATCTACTGTACATGGTGGAAGATATGTAATGAGACAGTGTTATAAATTATGCCGTTGGATAATTACTAAACTAATTTAGTTTTTTTATTCTTCGTGCCCACTCAAACTGTTATCTGAAGAAAAAAACACAATTATATTTAACTAAATAAAAATAAAATAAAGTCATTTATTAAGTATGGAACATCTTTAAATGTCATATTCCATCCATCCATCCATCCATCCATTTTATGTACCGCTTATGCCCAATGGGGACTGGAGCTTATCGCAGCTGGCAACAGGCGAGAGGCAGAATACACCCTGGACAGTATGTCTTATTAATTTATCAATATTATTTGATATGTAGTGTGAATTCCTCTACCATTACTAATTATAATGGGGAAGATCAGTGAGGGTTAGCAACGTCGCCTCACAGCAAGAGGGTTCTGGGTTCAAGTCCCAGGGGGAACCAGGACCTTTTTGTGTGAAGTTTGCATATTCTCCCTGTGCATGTGTCTGTGTCTGCATGGGTTCCCTCCGGGTACCCCTGCTTCTTCCCACCATCCAAAAACCTGCTTGTTATGTTGATGAGACATTCCAAATTAGGAGTGGATGTGATTTTGTGTGATTGTTTGTACTTGTGTGTCTCTATGTAGCCCTGCCATAGACTTGCAGTGTACCCCGCCTCTCGCCCAGTGTATGCTGGGATAGGCTCCAGCCCTCCTGCAACCCCGTTGGGCATAAGAAAATGGATGGACAGATTGAAGAGTGCTCTACTAGTAATGAACCTTTTGGATGGATTCTACATTTTGGGTTAATGAAGTTGCACCATGTTGTGATAAAAATAATGCCACCGAAATTATTGTGTAGACATGTTGGGGAGTTGTGCTTGTTGCCTTTAAGCGGAAAGAACATAAAATAAACAGAGTTGCAAAATTTGATGTTTTTTTGTTGTTGAATCAGCTATAACAAAAAATGCATATTTTTTTCTTTTTTTGATAATATTTTTATAGGGATTGTGGCTGCTCCGTTGACCTGCCGCTGAGTAGCATTGACATAAACTATTAGGCAAAAAAACTAAAAAAACTATAAGGATTAAACAGTTCAAATGATTGTTTTTAAAAGAAAAGCAATCAAAAAGTCAACATTTGCTATATTAATTCTCAGGAGAAAGTTGTCCAACAAGCTTGGGACCAGTGCTTTTGCATAAGCAGAAGTCAATCTGTCAGGTCTGACCAAAAAAGGTACAATAATCGCAACACTAATCCAGTCTTTACTTTCAAAGTATTTGACTAAGACATGCTTTGTGTCTCTTGAAAAATCTATACATTTCAAGAGATTGGATGACAGCCAGTGGTCCAGGAAAAATATATTTGATGCTGTTCAGTGTCTTATTGATTGCAAGCTTTGATGTTTTCTTAAAGTTTTCATTTTCTTAAACGTAACTTCAACAAAGTAGTTTATATTGCTAAAAAGTAGGAAAATATCAAATGGAAATGCAATTCACAATTCAAGATTAACCTGTTATAATAAACAGATTTAAAAGCCTAAGGTATTATGGCAGGAGTCAATCTTGATATACCTGCTTGACAGACCAGGTGTCTGGGACACCACTCTCACTTTTTATTCAAGTTTTTTTATTTAAACAATCAAACAAATACGGTACAGTTTCAAGTGTACCTGACTTCTCAGTCAGGTACATTTGAAAGAAATATCAATTATTTAACACCTTTGCCTCTCAATCTAGTCAGCATAACCTCATATGATACCGTTTCAGTCGTTACCACTTTCTATTCCTGGAATGTGGGGTGTTCAGGTGCCTTCCAGTGTCTCAGTATAATTCTTGCTGCTGAGGTTAGCCCAACCATCAACACTGAGTGTACCTCTTTTGTGAGCTGCGGTATTGCTGTTTTCTCTCCAAGAACACATAGATGCGGACATGTCCCTAGGAATTTAAATATTTTGTACCAGAATGGTTTGACCATAGCACATTCCAGTATAAGATGTAGAAAAGTACCCTTTTCTTTTTTACACTTCCAGCAGACATTACTATTTATTAATCCTATTCCAAATTGTAATGTGAGTTTGTGTAGCTTGTGGATCTTTGCCCACACTTCCTTAGAGTGTTGGACAACTGGAATTTTGTCCTCCACTTAACCAGTTACCTGTTGGGATAACAACTGTTTGTGGTGAAATGGTGTGGCAAGAGTCTGTTCTATATTAACCCAATTTAGGTCGGACGCATCTCCACTACAGTGTTTAGCTATCTTGGCCATTTCAAAAGACAAGTTGTACAATCTAACATTAAGTAAACTCAGCCCGCCTTTAATCTTGGGTGCATAGAGCTCACCCAGTTTAAACCTGGGCTAATGTCATATTGTTTAAATATATTTTCAGGTATACTAAGAGGAATCATCATGGATATGTAGTTGAACCGGGGGGCAATCACCATTTTAACAACATTTATTTTACCACATAGGGTAAGGTTTAGCTTTCCCCCTGTACCTATGTTTGTTTTGGTTTTTTGAAGTAGCATATCATAGTTCAAAGCAACAATCTCACCAAGGTCTGGGCACAACTTAATGCCCAGGTATACCATACCTTTGGAATCCACCTAAAGTTGTACTGTGCAGTTATTTGTGGGTGACAATTTTTGGATATTGGCATTGCTTCAGACTTGGTCCAATTGATATTGTAACCCGACTTCTGGGAATATTTACTGATAGTATGCATTAGGACAGATAGGGAGTTTTGCGGGTCAAAAGTCAGAAAAAGAATGTTATCAGCATATAACATTAATTTATGCTCACTTCCACCTCCATATACTCCTTTAATGGCGGGGTTTGCACTTATGGCTATTGCCAGAGGTTCCAGGAAAATTGTAAACAAAAGTGGTGAAGAGGGCATTCCTCTAGAGAGGTAAAAGAATGGTGAGGTCAGGCAATCAGTCTGATTTTGGATCACTGTACAATACTTTAATCCATGAAACCGGTTCCAAACCCAAACTCTGACAGGGCTGAGTAAAGGAACTCCAAAGACACCCTGTCATACGCCTTTTCCGCGTCTATTGACATGGCTGCCACCGGCGCAGTGCTGGAGGAGTTCAACCACATGAGGTGCATCTGTCTTCTTAGGTTGTCAGTAGAAGATCTACCTCGTAAGAAATTGTTAGGGAAATCAATATATGTATAATCACTTTCTTAATTTCTCTCTGGTAACTTTCCACAAGTTAATATTTTAAAGGTTATTTTTCTTTCTCATGGGACTCATTCCTCCTTCTAGGGCTCAGAGAGGGTCTCCTTATACTTTATCTCTGAATGTTTTTTCTGGAGGATTGTTTAATACAGGTGCAGAATGAAGGACAGACTTTACGTCTTATTTTCAGGCTCAGAGAGGGGTATAAAATGCACCATGATTTGTTTTACTTTGGGGCAGTTTGGTAGGTCATATGAACAACTTGTATGGTAGTGCTGGCTGCTCTCACTTCATGAAGTTTTCCCCTTCCCTTTTTCCCTTTTAATAAATTTATATTTCTTACTTCCTCAGATGGACTCATACTTTTGCTTTCAAATATAATTTCCACCACAAAACCCACCTGGTCATGATGTCTGGCAATACTGTTTCTAGTCTCAGGGCAAGCACCTTGGCAAGTATTTTGCTATCAACATTAATTAGACTAATAGGTCTGAAGTTGGCAGGGTCTGTATGATCTCTGCCTTTCTTTGGAATTAGAGAAATAAGTGCTTCATTCAGAGATAGTGGGAGGGAACCAGTAAGCAAGTCCTCGTCATACACTTCGGTCAAGACTGGTGTGAGGATATCTAGTATGTACTGCTTATAATAGTTCCAGGTGACCTCCTTGCTTTTATAGATTGGATGGCCTTCTTCACCTCTTCCTGGGACACACCACAATACATGCCTGTTCGGCTGACAACCTTGGGAGAGTTATTTTGTGGAAAAAGTTCTGCAGTGACAGATTACTTGGCTCACCTTTTGAACTATATTCTTCTCATAGACTGTTTTAAAGACCTCATTAATTTCTTTGGGAGATCTTTCCGTATGGCAGGAATTAAATGCACAGAATTTACCTCTTTGAACTGTCTTGCCAAGAGCTTCCCTGTTTTCTCTCCCGCCTCATAGAATGTTGTTTTTAGTCTAAACAGGGCATATTCTGCCTTTATATTGAATATTTCCTGTTATCTGAAAGACAGGAAATATTCAATATAAAGGCAGAATATGCCCTGTACAAATATAATTTAACAACCTATCGGAATATTGCTCTGCCAGTTTTCTTTCCATTGTGAATAATTCTGCCTCGAGTTTTTTAACTGTATAAGTGTGTTCTTTTTTTATTCTAGAGGTATGTGCAATAATTTTGCCTCTGATGTATGCCTTTGGAGCCTCCCACACCATAGCCTCACTGTCCGTACTACCCATGTTTATCTAAAAAAATTATGACAAATCTTTTGCCAGTTCCTTCTGAAAAATGCCATTTTGAAGGATGGAGGTATTCATCCTCCATCTACCTCGTTTGAGTTGGATGTATTTTAACACAAAGTTCAATGGGAGCATGATCCTACAAAGAAATGACATTAATTTTGCAGTCGATGACAACATTGATTAAACCATGAGACATCATATAAAATCTATACGCGAGTATGATTTGTGGCAGTCAGAGTAGAACGAATATTCCCTCTTACTTGGATTAACTATACGCCATATATCAATTAAACCATTATCTTTCTTTAACACGTGTTTAGCTGCTCTATCAAATACCTGAAAATGGACTTTTCCCCCAGTTTAATGTGATACAAGAGTCACAAAATGCTGAGACACTTAATTTCTATAGATGTGTATCAAAGGTTCATGGGGTCTTTTGCTGTGAACTAGATTGGGCTACAAGATCCTGACCTCTGAGAGGTTGATAATGAGATGTGGAAAAAAGTTTGCCAAGTGATATCTTAAGATAACTTATTTTTCCTCCTTTAGCACCTTCTGATTAATCACTCTTTAGAAGATGATTGCTCTTCCAGACTGATGTTCAATACAGTACGGAGGGACGACTGATAAACAAATAAAACCCCTATCATTTCTTCTCATCCTCTACCGACTTTAAATTGAAATTTTGAGTCAAGATTAACTGCACTAACACTTAGAGGAAAACTTATTCCATAAATGCAAGGTACACAAATACAGATTGTCATTTAATATTTTTTCCATGACCCAACACCCATACTTTACAGTATAATCACAAGGCTCATAAAATGTATCAACATCATGGCAGAACCTAGACTTCTAATCAGATAGCTACAGCTAGGGGTTTGGAGTTTAGATATTAAAGTAGGTCACAAGAAAATAATTAATAATAACTACTCTTTTCTTGAATATGTTTAATAACACATTATATGATTTTAGAAAAATATAGTCCTTAGATTCAGATAATGATTAAAAAATAATTGAAAAACATAATTGAGTTTTACAAATATATTCTTTGAAAGGTAAGAAAAGAATGTTGTATTTATACCTTCATTCAAAGACATATTTTTTGCAAAATCTGACTAAGTATTGATATTATTGCAAATTAGATATTACATAGAATTACATTTTGATCAACTTACAATTGTACAATTATAATGATAACATTTGTCCATATCTGGCCTTTCATACAACATGGCCTTTTGTCTTTCCAGGTGCATTAACTGGACAAAAAGATCACAGACAAGGGTACAAGATATTTTGCATCTTACAAGGTTTGACTGTTCAAGTCCTCACCAGGTGAGAGCTGCTCTCAGATTTTGTTGGTGTACTTCAGCAGACCATAAATGCCACCACCTGCCATAAAGACAAAAATATGAATAAATTCAAGTTATGAAACAGTGCAATTTAAAGCCCAATGAAAAAAGGTTTTTAATGGTCCATGATCTTTTTAGGATAAATATTGTTGTCAAGACAACATCTCCATCTTAAGTCTAAGATGTTAAGTAAATAATATCACACATGTCAGATCAATTGCATATTATTTATAAATGTGAATTTGAGGACAAATTTAATTGACGTGAATATTGTTCAAAACTACTCTGAATAAATAAGGCTGTAACTTTAATTCTTTCATTTCCAAGTCTTTTTCTCACATGGTGGAGAAACATGAAACATTTCCCAACATTACTGAACAGTTTTTTATCATTCAGAGGCTGAGGACTAATCATTTTGAAGAAGCAAAAAGAAAGCATCTTTTGGTCCAGCACAGTCCATCATAAAACAAACAGACAGGCACTTTTTGTTAATGAATAGCCAAATTACTGCAGAGGCAAATACTGTGGTTTTATGTAAAGGTTGCATTTGTTTATTGTGCTCACCAAGCGCAGTCACTCCGCCAATAGTGCCAATAGTAATGCCTGCAATTGCTCCAGGCGAAAGTTCACCAGATGTAACTTCTGGAGTTACTGTAGGACCATGGGTTATGTTGTTTTCTTGTGTTGAGGACAGTGTTGTAGTGGTTGTATTGAATCCATCTGTTGAGACTGAAGTGGGTTGGGTCGTTTGGACTGAAGTGTTTTGGGTCGTTTGGTCTGAAGTGTTTTGGGTCGTTTGGACTGAAGTGTTTTGGGTCGTTTGGTCTGAAGTGGTCAAATTTGATGTTGTTGTCTGTCCTCTGCAAAGTATTACTGTATAAATACAAACAAAAACAGAAAAGGTTCTGAAATGCATGCAGCATAAAAAAAAATAATTTTCTTATGAGGCAGTGCTAAACATGTACTATGGTGATGGTACAATTAATTATTAAAAGTTTTAAAAGTATAAAAATAATTACCATATTCCATCCTATAAATTTATTGTACACATCATACTTTAGAAACATGCAAGAGCAACTTTATTTAAAACATCTAAAAGAAAAAAATAGATAGTGCTCGCATTTCCATAAGGATCACCAGGCTTTGAGATTTATCATTTTTAGAGCTCCTTTCTAAGGTTATTAGACTGATTTGCAGTAGATTAGTTCATGAACACTTTCCAATAAAGTATATATATACTATATATAACATAGTACTAGTATGTTTACCTGTGCCAAGAAGGCAAAACGCCGCAACAAAATTCATCTGCATTGTCCCGGAGTAATAGTGTTACAAAAATAGAGATTAAATCAGGGTCTGAAAGAGGCTCTTCCCTGCTGAACAGAAGAAATAATCTCAGATCAGTTTATTGATGAGCAGACACATCTAACAAGTCTGTTCATTCACTACCTTTTGTTTATTAGGAAGACAACACATTTTCTGAACCTGAACATATTGTTTGGTGGCAAACTTGGAAAACCCTAATCAACATGCAAATTAAATTAGTCTACGTTTGAAGAAAAGAAAAACAGATTTAGATTCTAGTTAAATTCATTGTTCATTTAAAGACATTATCAGAGTTTTCTTTATCTTTAATTATTTATTTATAACAAAAGTGAACACTCAAAGTATATGATCAGAAAAATCATGATAATACTTACCAGAACTGAAACTCCAAAGGTAGCAGTCAGATGTACCAAAAAGTTTCCCAGGAGATCTGAGATCCTGCTGGTGATGAATTTCTTTTTTGACTGTAAGACCTGAGAGAATTATGCCTTTATGACCTTGTTATCACATTTTCAACCCTCCCATTTCTGTGTACTTTGGGGTTGTAATGTTTCACCACAGATGAAGACATGGCCCATATTGATTTAAATAAATGTTTGTTGAGCTCGCTCTTTACTGCACTTTTATTGACCATTGGTTAGGAAGGGCATTTCGTCTTGAAATTAGGCCATCCCATGGCCAATAAGGAAGATATAAGAGTGTACTTTTTAGCATCTATATTTATTAAAACATAATCAATACCTACTGGAAACTTTTAAATTCTATAAATTCCAAAGAGGCACAAAAGATTAATAATGTCATCAGTAGAAGGATGTCTTCACATTTCCTATAAAAGGCAGTACCTATTTTGTTTAAAGGGTACAAATGGTGGCCATTTAATTACATGCTCACGCATACATGGGCAAGCTCGTCTCAAAGAGGACTTTTGTGCCTTCTATCTTTTGTGGATTTCATCAATGATTAGGAACCCTTTTTTAAAAATCTTTTATTTATCAAAAACACAAAAATCGTTTCCCCTTGTTCAACAAACAAATACATAGAGCAAGTCACATAGACATTGAACACTCATTTCACCTGTAGAAATCAAGTTGAAATTACAAGTTGAACCCCATTTGGTTTCCAGAAACGACACGCACAGTTCACTTCCACAAAGTCTGACTCGTTGTAAAAAAAAGTGTGATTTCCACTAAGTTTACATTTTTAATTCTCTTAATATAAAAGATAATGAAATATAGCTTATGAAAGCCTTCTTATATTTTTTAATGGCAATTTCAAAGAGGCACTATCTCTGATAGCCCTGCCCAGATAACATCAGACGGTTCCTACACTTTGCCTTTATGACCTTTAAAATTAATGATGGAACAATGGAGTCAATAAATGGAAAAATTCAACCATGAGGTGAAATGAAACTGAACTTTGGTTCACAGATGAGCCTGCGATAGCCTTGTGCAATTCCATATTTTCAAATTCCTCTTGAAAAACGTTTTGCTTTAACGTCTTCTCCTGGCTTTTCACTATTCTTGGCAATAAGACAAACACATGGTGTTTACTTTTGCATTGCACATTACACTAAATTATGTAAATAAATCAAATGGGGAAAATAAAGCATCAAACATCCCAAAAAAGATAGGTATCTTGAAATGTCTTACTTCTTTTCAAAAGAAGCAGTAGCTGAAATGCTCACCACAAAACCACAAGTAACATTTCTTGGACACATCATTGTATTATGTCGGTCATAAATGCAATAAGGAAGAGGAAACAATAATCAAGTAGCAAATTCCACAAACCTTTACCTCATAATGCTTCATATCTAAAGTGACCAGGTTGCTGCTCCTTGTAGTTGCTCTTATCTGGGGATGATAAAATCTCACGGCATACTGAATGTTCTTGGGTTAAATCAAATATTTAATTGTAACCTTGAAATGAAAGTTTCAGTAAACTGGCTATTACATCTACAAATAGTGGTACTTTGTAATACAAGTTCAAATAAATAGCTTTCTAAAAAAGTCTGTTATTTGGATAGAATGAAACAGGAAAGGAAAGGTGTTGACAGCACAGAGAAACATGAAACAAACAACCATTCAGACGTATGTACCGTTTAAAGGTAATTTTAGAATCATCAGTTAACTCTGTGTATATGATTTAGGACAGTAACCTTGTCCTAAAACAGAGCGTAACCCTCAACCATCAGGCAAGTTTATCATTAAAGATTAGTTTGATGTGAAAGGAATGGTAAGGAATCTTCTGGAAATTTCAAGCAACTAAGAGCAGTACATGTTGACAATCCATAAGTTGCACCTGAAAAATACCTTGGACAGGTTTGATGAATGCTTCGGGGCTCCTGAAGTCATATAAAGTGCTCTCTTCAATAACTTGGACAGATTTCCAAAAATCACAAACAAGGACACCTGCAAGTTATGAGAGCTTGGGGATCTTTTGACTACGCTATTCCAAGATACTTTAAGCTACTGCTTTACAATGGAGTCAATAAATGGAAAAATTCAACCATCAGTTGAAATTAAGCTGAACTTTGGTTCACAGATGAGCCTGTGATGGCCTTGTGCAATTCCATATTTTCAAATTCCTCTTAAAAAACTTTTTGCTTTAACTTTTTCTCCTGGCTTTTCACTTTTCTCGGCAATAAGACAAACACATGGTGCTTACAGGTTTGATGAATGCTTCAGGGCTCTTGAAGTCATATAAAGTACTCTCTTCAGTAACTTGGACAGATTTCCAAAAATCACAAACAAGGAGAGCTTGGTGATCTATTGATTACGCTATTCCAAGCTACTCCTTTATCTTATACAAATCTAAAACGTTAAATGAAAAGCCAATCTCAGGAACATAACAACACAAAGATTTCAGAACTCCAGTTCATAAGACCAAAATTTCCTCTGCTGTCATATAAAATAAAGCAGCACTTAGGGATGATGTAGCAAACCAACATTTCCCACTTGACTCATCAGTTACTTCCAAAAATGAAAGTTTTTCTGCTCACAGAAGGACAATGTAAGCTGGAGAGCTTTCTTGCTAGATTATTCTTTATGCAATGATCAGGAAAACATTTGAATGAGTTTAACATCCGATCATGTAAGTGTGTCAGCCTACAGCTTATTACTAACACACAGACTGATAAGGCCTTCACAGGAAGTCAAAAAGAGCTTGCTTCTGCCCCAGTTATTGTAATGGTTTGGACAAGCAGTTAATAAAACGGGAGCCAAGATGAAGCATGTTTTTCTATCAATGGCTTTGTACCTTCAACCCTGAGAAAAGCAGAAACAAAGCGTTGTGCGGAATTGTGTTGCATTGTAACAGTTACACTGCCCCCAAGTGGCTAAACGGGAAACCTTTATTGGGGCTTATTTTTAGGACTGATAGAGAAGTGAAAGTTAAAAATAAAAAAAGAACCAATCCAGATTTTAGTCATATGTAAATGGAAAATAATAGAATCCTTTCTATTGTCAGTGGGGAAACTGACATGTTACAGGAGAAGCGGTGGCATACATAAAGGTTATTTACACTGCAACAAAATAAATAAAGATAATAAATAAACATTTCCGTAACAAACTAATTATCCAGTTATTTATTTATTATCAAATGAATGCCAAAATAGATTACTGAACAGCTTTTTGACATGTCAAATCTGAGAAAAACAAATTAAATAAATTACTTCAACTAATATATAAGAACACATTTTGCGAGTGGATTTGTTCAACAAAAACAATGCAGGCACAAACTACAGCGAAATTTGTGTACACTACACACGTATAGTTTTTCCTTTGTGAATTATTTAGTTGGAGCTTTGAAGTTTTTACGTTATTGTGGAGATTGCACAAAGTTGCAAAGTTCCAGACTCTGTGCTTCCAATATAAGACTGGCATCTCCTTCGAAAAAAATCTTAATTCTCAGGGAAAGATGCATGTCAATACACTATTTGAAAATGAATAAGTTAAGGGGCCTCCTTCAAAACTGACAATGTTTTTGAGGAGGAACAGAAGGTCTTCAGCTAAAACTATTAATCAAATAAAATCTTCTCACAAAAACACGGCATGAGCTTCTAGCAAATAGCGAATAAATATGTCTATTTTGAAGCAATAAACATTCAAAATAGAGGCTGACTAAGTAACGCTATTACGTAATATCCTCTTCAGCAGTTGTGACTAATATTTTGAAGGTTCAGACAGGAAGCTGGTTGTGTGTCGTACTTGAGAAACTCGACAGTGGTGCTGCTGCTGAGCCTCACCACAGAGTGTGTGCGTGTACTGATGGTCGACCGTTCCCGGTGAAAAACACCGAAAGCCCTGCCTCATGAAAATGCTTAAGCGCTGTATGTAACTGACAGAAATTAGTGCAGGGGAGAGAACCCAGTTGCCAGACAGGTTTAGAAAAAAAATCAGGATGTTGCAAGTTTTAGCTTGTGGCGCCGTAGTTTTTCCCGGTCTTTTCCTCGCCTTTAGAAGAATTCTACCGTCTGTGTTTAAACACTGGAGCGATGCCGACGTGGTGCTGGTCAGCGAGAGGTAAACTAGTTTAACTGTTTTCTGTGAGACGTAACTGACAAGCGTTAGCTAAATTTAGCTCAGTCTGGGCTTATTAGCTAGTAACATTCTGACTGATTTAGTTAGCTTGGTAGTTTATCTTTCGACGGATGACGATAACTACGTCCAAATTAGCTACGTAAATGTTTCATTTCTGTAACAGGCATCGTACACGGCGTTGTTGTTTAATTGGTAATTTGTCAAAGATGGACATTACGCAAATATCACCGCATATACAGAACTATGGGTCCCTGTAGGGAAAAAAAACCCAAAGCATACTGTAAGAGCAGTGAGGGCTGATAGACATGAAAAACCAAGTGCATTTTGCATGGGAATTCTCGTGAACGTGATTTTGCTTATAAAATAAAACAAAGCTAAGGACACGCATTCATAGTCCTAACATGCATTCAGTTTTAGTAAGTAGCGTGGAACTCAGTCTTCGATGGGACTCCTGGCTGATCCACATAGGAAATGACATTTCCTGTTGGTGTTTAACAAACCTTAGCGGTGTGTGTGGTCTTTATTTTTTTCTTTTACGGATAGTCAGTCATCATGCATCGTAATTCTCTAATGCTTTGTTCCAATTGGGTATTGGGGACAGAAGAAATAACAGTTGATACACTGTGTCCTTCTCTCTAGCTCACATGTGCTCAGCTCTGTCCAGTGCTCATTTGTACGCTGTCACTCTGGCTAATCCTCTTTTGAGCTCCAGTCATATCCCACTGCTGAGTTAGCTATGCACTACAACGGGCTGAACCCTAATACCGATCAACGCACCAGCTTGTTTGCAAATGTTCAGCTAACGTCTTTTTTTCAAGCGGGCGGGATGTCCCACTGTTCGTATTTTCTTTAACACGTACAGGGCCTCTACCATCTCAGACGTTTGGCCTGGATCATGCTCGTTTTAAAAAAAATGGTTAAGCAGCTTTTGCAAGGTGATAAAACACGTCCTGCTTTAATTATGTATATTTGACGATGCTCTGTGTTGTGGATCAGTTTCAGCTTTAAGATTGGAAATTAAAAGACCAATCACTAAAATAATTAGATGCCAAATTTAGTGGGATAAATTTAACCACTGTGGTCAGTGAGGTTTTATATCAACTACTATACACTATTGCTGGTTTTAATACTAAACCTTTTTTGTTTTGTTGTTCATTGCAACCTTATTCATGGAAAATAAGCTGATTAAATCCTTTCCTGACTCCAGAAGCAGTGTCCTGGCCCTTGGTACTTTACTTTATTTGTATTTGACTCATAGGGGTTCACCACTCACTGTGGTTGATACCTGTTCCTAAACTAGACTTTCTTTTTCCATTAGACTGTGGATATCAGTGCAACATTGCAATTTGCAACAGCTATATGAACATGGGACATACTGCAGATTTTTCAGGAGAAGGCTGATGTTTCAGATGAACGGATAGCTAAAATCCTTATAATATCCTTTTTCTACTCAACACCAAGCGTGGCTCCTTGTTGATGGAGGGGACAGGGGTGTTTGCAATAAGTAGGCATGTTATCTTTCAATCTGATTTGAACGGTACTTCCTCTGTCAGGGATGTCAAACTCCAGTCCTTGAGGGCTGCTGTCCTGCAGGTTTTTGACGTTTCCCTGTTTCAACAGAACTGATTCACATCATAAAGCCACTAGCAGCTCAACAATGTCCAGTGGAGATCCAATTTAATCAGAATCAGGTGTTCAGATGCAGGAAAATCTCTAAAACCTGCAGGACAGCGGCCTTCGAGGACTGGAGTTTGACACCCCTGCTCTATGTGCAGATACTTTCGATGAGATACTTAACTCCACAGCCCCCCTTAATTCAGTGATTGTAGTTGAGCAGTAATTACCTTTTATATTTTGACCTGTTACTGAACACTGCTTCCTCTGAAGAATAGACAGCAGTGTTCTGTACTCCTGACCTGAGCTGTCATTAGCCTCTGTCGGTACACTCTTGGCGTTTTTTCCATTAGTGCCTACTCAGCCCTACACGGTTCAGCATAGCATGGGTTTTACACAATTTAGGTGGTTTTCCATTACAAATGACAGCTGACGAGAAAGAAAAGGCGACCAGTGGACGACGTCATTTGTATGCGACAAAAGCACGAGGCAACAATCAAGGATATAACTATATATCGACAATATTATAGCGACAACTATAAACCTTCTAAACATTGGAATTGGACCACAGCGTTGGTTCATGTATCTGGCCTTTACAACGTTTATTATCACAGAAGGATGTTTAGTGGGGCCAGCCCGAAGTGGAAATGCAAAAATACCGTGTAGTGCTGTTCCACCAGAGCCTTGAGTAGGCACTAGTGGAGATACACCATCAGAAAAGTAGGATTGACAGTCTCTTATAATTCTGTTTGCAAGTTAGATAAGTAACTCGTACTTCTTGGGGAGGTTGTGTGGTTTTTCCTCCTTTCTATTAAACATTGTTAGGTATGCATTATGAAAAGCTTTTTGAAGAAAACACTTTTCTGTCAAGTGTAGTTATTTTTGTTTGAAGAATAATGATGACGTTTTTGTAGTGTGTTGGTGGGATGCCATTTCAGGAAGTAGTACATTATTTTAGGTGACTTTTCAACATGACCAATATGATAGTACTACCGCCATAGCTACCATCAATGCGGGTGTCACTGCTGCTATTTAATTTTTGCCAGTATTGGTGCTCACTATGGTGTCTTGAGTTCTGTTAAAAAAAACAACTAGTCAAAGTATTTTTGCTATTGTTATTATGTATACTACTACTGTCGCTACTGTTGAAAAATATTTTGTAGTTTGAAACGACACATAGTCCTGGTGTGCTATGTGGAGTTTATTATCCCAAAAAACAAAGAAAGTTAGATACTGTTGTTGCTTTTTTTTATCTGCTCCATACTGCACACCCTCTGCACAACAGATGCTGATGCAGATTTCACCCCCTATGTGAGCTCTGCAAAAAAATAGCTCAAACAGAAATTTGTCACAGCATTTCCAGTCACAGAAAGGCTATTAAAAGCTTACAAAAATTCCAAGTGCCGTTAAAGCAAAGTGATGTGGTGCAAATCTGGAAACCAAAGGAATCAGCTGCTGTGTGTCAGCTAAATAACAAGAGCGTAATGTGTAATTCTTCTTTAGGGTTTTGTAAAATATATTCCATTAATTTAATTCACCTTCTCTCAAAATCAGCTTTAATGGGAATATAGCCAAAATGCATCATAAGCTGGTCAGGACTACAGTTTGTAGTGAAGCTTGTATATTGTGAGTGCTATAGAACACTCTTACAAATAAAGTACAAAGCATTTGTTCAGATACATTTTTCTCTTGTGTTTATGTTAAGGTATTTAAAACAATTAAGAATAAGGGTATGTCTATAAAAAAAAAGAGAAAATCATGCTATTGAAATCTTGTACGGTTCCAGACTCTTACCTGCTCCAGCCCTAATCTGCATATGAAAGCGGCTGTTTTCTTTACATTATCTGAGGAACAGCTGATGGGGAGCCTTCTTATTGTATTATTTTGAAACCTGCCTCCTATCTGGGGTTGTTCATAATTGCATGGCGCCAGCAAAAATGACAGACTCTCATCACACAAATGCATGTTTATACATTGTCTTGCACAGCAGTGTTTCAGAGATTTTACCAGGGTGCCTGGGTGGAAAATATCTGCAAGAAGTCCAGAGGGAATGACATATGTGTTCTTGTATGCCACTGCTCCGACACATCTAGAGTTTGCTCTTTTTTGTTGCTCAGAGTTAGCATTGACTTCTTGGAAGTTTGTAACATGACATGTTTACAGGATTAAATGTCTCACAGTTTAGCAAAAGATCAATTTAAGCAGTCTGCAGAGCAACTAGGTCTCATTCCTAATTTCTCAGAGATTACCACTTAGTCGAAGTTGTGCTGCACTTTTTTTCCGAAGAGCCATACCTGAAACTCCAGACGAGAAAAGACATTTGAACCCCACTTAAACCAAATTCCAAATAAGAAGTTAATAACACACCATAAATGAATAAATACATAGCAATCGATGCTACTAAAGCAGGTGTTGAAGTTCTGAGTTGCAACTCTAACAAATGAGATACAGCATAAATTATTAATTTCTGTTGGTGTAACATGCAGTAGCCTCTCCTCATGTTCCATTTGGCCAGCTTCTAGCTTAATGTGTCATACTCTGAAACCTCCTCAAACCACACTGGTTAGGAGTAGTTGACCTTAGTTAACCTGAGTTAACAGTCTCTGAACACTCATAACTATCTGCAAAGCGGTGATATTGTAAAATAAAGAGTTTAGAGTTAGGGTTAGAGTGAATATGTGACTCTGAGAAATGTATAGGTTTATGTACACTGATCTAAGAGCCAAGTACTTAACTTGAGAAACAACCCTTGTATTTAAAAAGACATCAGTATTTTACCAATCTTATCTTATGTCTTGAAAACCAGACACTTTAATTGGTCTGCCAGATTTACTCAGATGCCTTACCTTTTGTAAAACTACATATCACATTGTGTTATTATATCTGTAGATTAAAAAAAAGTTTTTATAGCATCAGTTTTTTCTTTAAAGGAAGATGCATCAATGCCCTGAGATGATAAAGGATCGGCCTTTATCATCTCAGCCCTTGATTTTTAGCTCAGTTTAAACCCTGTTTCCTATTTGTCACCTATTGATGGTGAATGAAAAGTACTATTGTTACATCATTCTATTCCTGACTCTTGAAATTATATCATCTTATACAGGAAAAGGAAACCGTAAGACCACAACTTTGTCACGTGGTTTCAGCCTGAGCGTCAAAGTCACTCAGTGGACTGTAGTTCATATTATCTCCAGTTCTTTTTAGGCTCATTAAGGTATTTTGTCTGAAAAGCTGGACGTAGTTCAGATTTAAATGAAAAAGTATTAAGTAAATTGATAGTGCTTTAAATTAGTTTATTTGATCATTGTTAGTGCTACTGTTTTACTAACAATATGTGGGAAGAACTAGTAATCCAGTGATTCTGCTGCAGCCATTTGTGTACTCGTGTGGCAAAGATGAGAAGAGAGAGACTTCCTTCTTGCCTTGAAATGCACTTTACCCCGTTAGCTTTTTTTTGCTTCTGCTGTCACTTTCTTTCGCTCTGCTGCAGTGCCCATTGCCCTACAGATTACGCAGCCCATTTAGTTGAGGAGCAGAAAAGGCACCACTCCTGGCCTTCAGACACAGTGTGACAGAGCAAAGAAGCTTGTGTAAAAAATAAGACGGTAGGTAGGGAGAGTTTGTTGTAATGTAAAAGAAGGTGAGGTTGTTTTCTGGCCTGACGCAGCAGCGTTTGCCGAAGGCAGCCAGACATTCTTCTCTTTTTTTCTCCCCCCTCTCCTCACTCTCTTCACCCCATCAAACTCAGCATTTCATCAGCTGGGTGAGTGGGGGTTATTGGCAGACACAATGAGTTGGTTGTGTAAAATCTGGGTCTTGTGACGGTGTGCAACCCCAGCCTGAGAAGGCAGGAAGGCATGGATATAGAAGTTTGTACAGTAAAAACAGTATTTCCCAGCTCAGGGTGATGATTTTGTTATTGCAGGTCACATTGCCTACGTTATTCTGGTTATGGGAGTGTCACTGCCACAAACTACACAGAGATTGGTACCAGGCGACACAAGTCCAAACAGAGAAGCACTCAAACACATTTTTGTCTTTGTCGCTGCTTTTTGCCGGACATTGCTAAAGATGATGCACAGGTCTGATCGTAGACCTGCATTCCAATGAAATTCAGCCCTGCTTAAAAAAGGGTATTCCACTCGGGATGTTGTGTTTTTGTCCGCTTGTGGGACTCACTTGGTCAACTGGAACAAGGCAGCACATGATGCAGACATTACACCATGCTAATTGCTGGATTTTCTTTAAGAAACTCTGACAATAGCACTTCTTGTGTTGATACAAGTAACACACACGTGTTCATTCAAACATTCCACATTCAAAGCATTTTTGATAGAATTTACACTGTTGCACCACCATAATTTTTTAACAAAAGCATTGCTAAAAAGGTAAGTGTTTTTGTTTGTAATTTTTTTGCATTTTCTCAGTTTGAATTGAAACAATTTTAATCACACACATCATCTAAAGCACAGGATTTTTTTTAATTTAAGAAGTGATTTACTTGCAGCCCATTCAACTCTCTCATCTAAGCAAGTGATAACTGACCCACTTGGAGTTTCACGTGGTAACTGAATTTTTCCCTCATTCATCGTCTTGTAGGGGTTTTTGAGTTCTTGATGAGGCCAACTGGACCCATAGGAGTAAGCCGTTCCATGACAAAGTATTCCTTCTATCATGGCTACAGTGAGCGCAGGGAGAATAAATTACATGTTTTCTGATTTCAAAGCAGCTTACCATAAATGCTGCCAGGTTGGAGCGCAGCCAGAAAGAGAGCTTTTCTGAGCCAAAGCAGTCATTCATAGTTTAAACAAATTGGTGATGTAACCCAGCGTCCAGCTCAAATCAAATAAAAAACACCGATGCGATTACAAACTAAACATAAATTATTTTGATTTTTTTTCCGTATTCAATTGCATGGCATAGTATTACGCCAAGTCATCTCGTAAATTCACATTTTGTGAGTTCCCTCAATACGTATGAGGCCTTTGAAGGGTTAGGTATGTGTTTTACCTCTGGAGAGTGACACTTCAGATAGAGATGTACCAACTTCTCCTATGTCACAGGTCTGTTTTTAGACTAAGAAAGTTGAGGCCGAGTACTGCTAATCCCGTGATGGTACACTGAACTTGAAAGTCTGGCTACTTAAGTAGCTCACCTGAAGGAACTGTACCTTTTTTAGACCCACATTTCCAAGTGTTTGTCCTGCTCACAAAGCTATAAATAATATGGACAGATCATGGTTTAACCTAATAATAGGTTATACAAATGTATTTCCCTTAAAATAATGTGATATACCTTAATGCCCCATACATGCAATATTTTACCCAAAATTTTTACTTAAAAAATATGGGAGCATATTGTAGACAACCACCGTGTAAAGATTGTTTGTTTGATTTATTTTATTTTGTCATGATTGGCAAGACCAGTCTTGACATGAGATAAAGAGCTGGGGGATTCTGTTATTAAATGCTAGTAGTTGATGCTTGTATATCATTAGTTTCTCATCTAATAAGTCATTGTAGTACAGCTGGTTATTTATTATCAATATTTTTACATGAGGTTTGACAATTTAATCCACACAGATATGAAACATCAAGTACGAAATGCGTTTGCATTACAGGAAACAGCAGACATAAATATAAGGCTAATCTAGGATTCAACACTGCAACAACGATATATAAGGAAAGAAGTTGATAGACACACTTAGATTTTTGTTTTGTTTGTTTGTTTGTTGAGGGGCCCCAAGAAATTTGGGGGTCGGTAGTGTGTGTATTATATGGGGGAAATGGTATTTTGTGTCTTCGAATAATGTTTACTCAACTGCATCCATCTTAGAATTAATTTTTACTGACTGAATTAAAAATAGATTGTGGCATGAATGGAGAAACCTTTTTTTAAAATCTCCAATTAAAAGCGGTGTGAAACACTGAGGTGGAATAGATGAAAAACTACACGAAGACATGTCTTCATGAAGACATGGAAACCAGTCCTGATCATGCACAAAGCAGTTCAGATGATGATTTCTTTTTGTCTAAACACAATAAAGCAGACTGAGTAAGGCCATTATCGCTGAAGCAAGACTGAGCATACTTTGTACAATTTTTCTCTGGGTGGCCCTGTTGTGGGGGACCTGTTCAGGGTGTACCTTCTTTTTCCTCCTGAGCTGCTGGAAAAGGCTTCAGTCCAGTTTCCGATATAACTCCTTGTTAATAGTGGCTTATTAGACCTTGAATATGAGGAATTCCTAAACATAGTTGCAATAATAATATTTTCCACCGTCCATGTCTTCTGACCCGACTGAAATGGCAGCACATCCTGCTGTAACTGGAAACCATGAACATGTTATTGTGGTCCAAATGCTCCTGACCATTTCTTTGTTCTAAGTTGGTGGATAAGATCTTCATAGATCAAGTTTGTCCTGATGCTAAATTCAAATGTCAAGGATCAATGTATCCAATAGCATGACAAAGGAAAATATAAATATACCTTATATAAATATCGTAATTATGATGCCTGATGTATGATTATGGAGTTGTTGAGCCTGTTTTTCACCACTTCATTTGTCTCTTTCCCAGGCTAGTGTCCTCCATCCATGCGATCATGGCAACCACAGCGGGTGTTATTGTTGTGTCGGCATGCCAGAGCAACATCATTAACGACAGGTCAGTATTCATCGTGTTAATAACTAATGAAATGGCAGTTACACACACCTCTGAGTCCACTGATTTCACACAAAGCTACATAACGTTCTTTTCAACAGCTGAGCCTCAGGATAATACCACAAAGGGACTATGCGGAGGTCTCTTGTTGTAGGAATTGACATTTATGTGTTTACAGCTTGAACACACATGCATCAACTAAAACATGTAATTAATATATTTTTATATTTTTTTAAACCCTTAAATCAATTCACAAAACTATCATAAAGCCTAAACAAGGGCAAAAAAGTGAATCAGTGTGTCTGCTCTAATTATGCCGGTTGAGAAAAAAGTGTGTATCACGCTTCCATGAAATATTTCTTAAATAAAAGTCTAGCATGTTATACCTGCTAAAGTAGTTATTTTTTAGAAAAGATGTGTTATTTCAGCAGTGTATCAATATTTTCCCATAAGCAGCACACCAAATACCCTTATTCAGCGACCCAGCAACCCAGGCAATGTGTGTTAGCATACTGTTAGTTTCCCTGCACAGTTTTAAGACACTGTAACGGTAGGGTAATGCTAGCCTTTTAATCCCACTGAGTCAGCAGCAAGAGCTGGGCAGTCCCATTTTCAGGCTGCTAATCTCAGTCATCCCTCTCTTTAACCCAACACAGCTTAATTCTTCCACAATGCTTCTCAGTTCTGCCGTCCTATGACGCGAGTTCATCCTGGAGCTTATCAAACACATGTGCCACAGTCAAACGAGTGCTGCATCACAATCTTTCATTTTATTTAGCCTTCTTTACCTCATTTGTAGAAACGCTTTGAAAGATTCTTTAAAGGCATTTTCTTCCTCAACCTGACATTTTTTGTTTTAATCTAATAGGGATCAAATGACTGTTACAAATTGTTCTTACATTTAAAATAGTGCAAATTATATGACATAACATGTATATAAAATCTAAAGGAGTAAACTGTAACAGTGTGCTGTAGAGCATAGTTACGTGTAAATTGTAGTCATATGAGCAGGTTATTTTTTGTAGCTCATGACAGGCTGAATAGCTCATCAGGATACAACTGAAGCCGACCCCCATTTCTCTGCTTTAATGTTACAGAGCAAACCTTTAAAGCTTCACTCCACACTCACAGGTATTTGCTGTACCTTTATGTTCTTAATCTCAAACCTCTGACTTTAAGAGCTCAAGAGCCCAATGAGAGGTCAGGGGTCATTAGCTCAGCTCAGCCCTACGGCTTTACACCATTCTGTCCACATAATTAACCATCACTCTAAGCAGTGCTCATTAGAACTCTGCATCTGTCCAGGCTGTTTACTATACTGTATTATACATTAGCCAGCCCAAAACCCTCAGCGCTATTTCCGTGTGAGAGAGGCAACGTAGATAAAAATTGAGTTCTTCTTCTCGTGAAACAATAGGGTAATTTTTTTCCTTCTACTGGGTGTCTGTAATATGTATGTAAGATGGATGGCTGAATACTTTTGGAGCACCAAGATTCTAGTGTTATAAAAGTGTGTGTGTGTTTTTTTTGTTTGTTTTTTGCATGGCTTTATAAAATGCTGTGTTCTCATGCAGAAAATAGTCTAATGATTACATGGAAAGCACATTACATGGATGTCACATTTCTTTATGGAAAAATAAAGTTGTTTTTAACATTAAATGTTTTATCCAAGAAAAAAGTACCTCACCTTTAAATGTGTTAATGTGTAAACACGTTGTCAAACTGTACAGTATATAGGATACAAAAGGATGTTAATAAATGACTCAGACTTAACCAGATGCCCCTCCAGCCAGAAAAGAGTTAGTAAGTAAGATTGAGTCCATTACATGAAACCCGTTGTATTTTTGTTAATTTCCCCCTGCTTTTAAAGGGACGTTGTGTTGTATTTTAAGTACAGTAGAACCTCTACTTGCGATCTGCCTGAATATACGAATTTTCCAACATCCGAAGTGAAGTTCGATCAAATAATCAACTCTAAACCCAAAGTAAATTTCCAACATATGTATGACGTTGAAGTCAGAAAAAATATCTAAAATAAACACATTAAAAAAAAAAAAAAAAAAGATAAGTTAGTTGAAAGTTCACGTAGTTAAAGTTAGAGTAAGTTACGGTACGTCCTGTATCTCAGTCACCACCTCTACCTCTACACCGACCGTCTCCTCCTTGTCCTGCATCGCCAAGCCTATACCTCCGTTCGCCAATAAGTTCCAATTAAAAAAAAACTTTTATTGATTATTTCTTTATAATTTATTTCATTTTAAATCTTTCTTATATAATGCATTTGTTTTATTGCTATGTGTAATTATCTGGAGTATTTCTTAAGGAGTTATCGTAGGTTTTTAGGCTGTGGAACGAGTTACATGAATTACAGTGTATTCTTATGGCAATATTTGAACCAACATACGAATATTTTAACATATGAAGTAGGTCCATGAACTAATTAAATTCGTATGTAGAAGTTCTACTGTATTTTGTTAGCTAAAATCATTTTCTTCATTTATAAATCTGTCCTCATTTGGTGTAAAATGACATCTGCAATGATCTGTCTTCTCCTCATAAGCAAAGATTTTCCTATCTGTATATACACAGGGTGAGTAAGTCCACGGAGGTTTCTATGTCGTTTCGCCATTTAAAAAAAACTATAGTCGCAGAGAGGGAAATAAAGTACTAGTCTACCTGTCTAGCTAATCCACAACGTTAGAATGCAAAATACAATTTCATCGTTAGATTGGAGAAATTCCTAATTCCTAATGGGTCAAGAGGCAAGATGAAGGCAGGCTGCATTGTAAACTTGCAAGCTTCAGATGCTCCGTGATGAACAGGGGATGCTTTTACAGTCTGATTTATTACTCCACAGGCACAAGAAGAAGTTTTGAACAGATAATAATCTGATTGATGATGAATCATTATAAACTGACATAGCAATGTGTTTTTACTATGCATTTTTCTATGCCACTTATGTTTGATGTAACTCAGTAGAGCTATGGAAATGACTGTTCAAATGTCAATAATAATAATGTGCCATAACTTCATATCTCTATGTCCCATGTTGGGGTGATGTCTGAGATACTTTTAAAAACTGATACATTTTAGGACAATTGTAGAACTTTGTTTAAAATTTGAAGGGGGGCAGGGGGTCAACATGTGAACAGCATAAATTTGCATGTTTTCATTCCATTTTAACTTGTCTTTAATTTATCTTCTTCAGGCATTGGTTGGCCACCTATTTTGTCATCTGGTATGGAGTCCCCTACATGACCTATGACATCTTTGCCATGTACCTCAGCCACTACTACCGCTATCGCGTCAAAGGACATGAGGACTACAAGCAGCACTCCCTGAGAACCGTTAACTCCTTCGTCCGTAGAGAGTTCCTACTGGTGCTGCATCACATCGCCCTGCTGACCATCCTTCTGCCCGTCACTCTGGTGAGGAGGATGGGTGGGTGGGGGCACTGATGAGATCATGCTTTCAGTTGTCCAGAGCAAGAATTAAGAGAACTGGATGTAGCACAGGCAGCTGTGTTAGTGATATATTTGCAGCTTCCTGCATTGGCTTCTGGCAGGAATTAGAACCATGAACATCGCTGAGCAAAATCTGCTGTTTGTGTGCAAAAGTACTTTGAATTGTCTTGTCCCTAAAATGTGATAGACAAATAAATTTGCCCATGCCTAGACAGTGATCTTATTTGGCACATGTTTAACAGCCATCTAACAGCAATCTAACTATTCTGAAGAAAAGTCCCTTCTTAACTTAAAGGCAAATTGCAACATTGTCTGATTTTTAAAAAAGAAATAAAAAAAGACAGAAATGTTGGAAAGTTATTTAAAAAGTTTATGAATTGATTGTCAGATTGATTATCTTTTTGAAGAAGAATTTGGTAAATATAGTCTTAATAATCACTTTGTCCAGTTATAAAACTAAAATTACGGATGTGTTGTTTTTTTTTAACTGGTTTTTACACAGAAAAGTTAACAGATCTTCAGATGATAATCTAGTGAAACAGGGTGTAAGATTTTACCATTTGAAATACCGTGAAAACAGATTGCTAAAAAGTAATAGTATGAGGACTACATCATGTGTTTTTTTTTATTCCAATCCCCTTCCAGTAAGACATTATTAATGTGTACTTTAATGTTGTACAGCAGCTGCAAATCCATTCCTTTATAAAGCTGCATTATCTTCTAATGATTGCTTAAGTGGCAGCAAAAAATAGACATGCAGCTTGCCGTCATAGATTACCCATCAAGCTGTTTTCAGGCTGTAAGTCTCAGTTTCAGTTTCTGTAAGCCGATGATGGAACAAATTAGTTGCTGTTTAGTGCTAAGGGATATCTATTGACGAATAGATCATACCATGCTGTGCTTCATCTTGCTAAACTACTTCCAAACATCTTTCTTTTCACCATTCTAGCAGATTTGCAAATTGAACTCTTGCTTTATTTTGGCTAGTGTAAGGCTTAAAATTCATATTAACAATTGAAAACCAGGACAGCAACAGTCAACAATGATGATATTGTATTTCACTTACAAACAGGTGGCTTAAACCTACAAATTGTCCACATAAAAAAATAAAACAGAAAAGGTAGTATTAATAAGATCATTTCAGAAATGTGTGCAGTAAAACACAAAAGAATATGATATCCTATAATCAATATTGGACAATAATAGATAAGTTAAACAACAACCAACACATACCATTATAAATCCCAACTTTTTGGAAGAATTCCATGATGCATTGAACTTATTAGCATTTGGAATTAATAAGAATTGCTAGTAGTATGGGGATGTGATCAGCTGTAGAATTCTTCTGTGATTTACATTTTCATACCTTTTTAACAAAAGCTTTGGTTAGTTTGTAAAACCATCAAGTTGTCATATCCTTTCCTTCCTTTTAGGTAGTGGCAGTCTATAATTTGCTAATAAATGTCACTGTTGCAGACTGGCTTTTCATCTTAGACCCCCAACTTCAAAACTCTACAAGTCAGACTTGGTCTGGTCAAACAAACAAGTCAGTGCTATAGAGGAACACATAGTCATGCCATTTTTAGTGGCTTTCCTTACTATTCCTGAATTGTAAAAGTGTGTTTTGCTGAAATGTGATGCATGTTGCTAAAGAACTATGTAAATTTGGTGAAGAGCACAGTGAACATGCAAGTGTCAAAACTTAGAAAACACATTTTAATTGAAGACTGTAAACCATAACTAGCTTATGTTGGGAAAGCAATCATCGAAGTGGAGGCAATATCTGAAAATTTGACTGTGTGTCTGAGCAGGCTGTTTTGTTAAATGTTTCAATGCCTTATTGTATTGTATTCCTGAACCAATATTTACTCAGAACATTTCCCTTTTTTCTCCTGAAACTAAACTTTTGTACTGGAAGTATTGGCTGCTTTCAGGGGCTTTGTTGATGCTGACCACAAAAGGTTATTATCAGCAGGGTTTACATAACCCATAACAAAACCACTCTTATTTCCAAACAGTGTGAGCCAGGTGCCATGAAAAAAAACAGCCCTTTGTTTGGTTTGGCAGTCATTGACTTCTTGAGATCACGTTACTCTTCATTATTCAGCTCCACCAGCAGTCATCAACTCATTCTCTAAACTCGCCTCCCTTTCCTGTGTCTCACCACTAGTGCCTTCAAGCACCAGCTATTAGTTTGGCATGCCTGTGTGAAGCAAGATGTTTGATAATATGATAATTCGTTGGAGTATCGCAGGAATTTTTTTTCTTAATTTTTTTATTTTTATGTTTTTGAAGGAAAAGCACCTCTCAGTGTAGCTAATAATATTTGTAGATAATCGGGTGAGAATTCAGCTGTATGCCTCAAACCCGCCATTATGAGCGGTCATACTTTCCCCTCTACTGCTGTTTCTGCCATGAGGAGTCAGCATTTCTGCTGTTGAAAGACTCTGTATCAGCTAAAATGGCGTGGGAAACACTAACTTTGTTACAGGTGGCCAGACTTAACATAGCTGACAAGGTGTTCTCACCAAATTTTAGTCCACCCATTCATTCTTTATATTTCAAATTTGGGATGCTAAAATGAAAATGATAACCACATTTTATTGGTATAATTCTATATATATTTTTAGACCTGATTAAATGAATGAGGGAAAATATTTGTGAAAAAAGCCAAGGGCTTGTTCGGGTGCTATTTATTGAAACTTAATTTGGATCCCCAGGAAAATTTTTGAGAGGACATGTTAACCAGGTTTTTTTTTAACTGTTATGGAAAAGCTCTAAAGGGTGCTCACTCATGATGTTGACATACCATCCCATTAGAACTGTGATAATGATAAGGTTTAGGTTTTATATATTAGCAACTTGTGCTACACCTAGATGTTTTACTGTAACTAGTGACTGCTGGAGTCCATTCACACACAAATCTTGTTTATGTCAGCATAGTAAAGACAGGTGGGAAGAATTGCCACTATCCCTCTGTGGACTTTGTCAGTTTATAAAGGATTAGTGTTAAAAAGTGATTAGGTGGACCTTTTTAAAAGAAAATAGCCCTGATGTTTACCATACACCTTTGGTCTTTGAATCAGATAAGAGCTGTCAGGTAGGTGTAGGCATGGCTTTAAGTTTAGCCTCCATGGTCTGTCATTTTTAAGCAGTGAGATGGCAAATCATTTCTGAAGTAGCTCATGCTTCATTAAAAACAAAACAAAACTGCAAGGTTGGCTCCTATATAGTGGTTGTCTTTTGTTTTGAGTCTGTATCCATCCTGACAGACTCACCTGTTCTACGGTGGCATCACTCAGCATTGTGCCACTGGTCAATATTTGAACGCTTCATTCATTACTTATGCACAAGACACCAGCCCCCCCCCCTCCAAGCTCTTTTAAAAAAAAATGTGAGATGGAAGTTGAGGTTGCAAGTCACGTGTACTTATTTTTGGAGTGTTTACAAAAATCATGCACATTATCTTAATACCATCAATGAAAGGAGAGGAATTCCTTCTGCTGCCTTTGTGCTCTGTTTTGAATGAAAACCACCTAAATCTAATGTTAAAAGGTTAAGACCTGCTTGATGTGTATTTGTGGGGAGTTGAGTCTCATACACCCTAATAAGACAAAAAAAATCTGAATTTAATATTTATTCTTCCCAAGGTGGAATCCAGACAAAATTAAGTTAAATCACAGTGCTGCTTGTGTTTTGCCTCCTTAAAACACATAATTGTGGGACTACACAGCATTTCTCCACATGATTTCACAATTCAATAACTTGATGTATTTTCAGATGATATATTTCCAAATTAATTTGTTTGGTGTGCATATGTTTATGTAGAATTTGATAATAGCCCTTTAAATGGCGTATCTGATCACTGAAAAGGGAAGTTGAAGTCGACCAAACTCTTCATAACAGCTTATGGATCACCAATCCCCAAGTCTGGAAAAATAGAGGTCCAGCTCTCATGCGTTCTTTGGTAAGCACATGTTTAGATCAGAAAACTAGCTTTCCTCAGATCATGTTGATACACAGAGAAAACTGCACATATACTGAGTTATCTGTCGAACATTTTTCTGTCCATCTCTAACAAAACACTCTCTGAGCAAATTTTCATAGAAAGTGCTCCAAAAAGTGCCTTCAAATGTCAGCTTTATTTGTTCCAGTGTTTGCTCAGTGTGTGTGGTCTGTATGTCTGCTCCTCAGTTCTTCAGAAAGGACCAGGGGGATTTCTTCATCGGCTGCTTGTTTCTAACAGAGCTCAGCACACCCTTTGTCTCCCTGGGGAAGATTCTTATTCAGGTGAGGCGACACGCACACTCGAACCCCCACTGGAGATGAACTGAGAAGTGACACATCTGTCCGTTTTTGCGGTAGTGTTGCGTTGAATAACATCATTAAGCCACAGTTATTTAGTCTGACAATCAACCAGGACACAGTCTAGGAGACAAATAATTTGATAAACACATAGATCGAGCATAAGTTGGCCATTCACAGGTTAGCAACTGTAACCATGCACAACGGGTATACAGAGCAATACACAGTATATTTAACATCGTACATATCCAAAACCACATGAGCTTTGTAGATGCAGGAATTTAACTTTGTACTAGTTTGCAAGCCTCAAAACACTGTGGAGTGTTCTGTTCATTAAACTATAGTTTTTGTGGAAATAGTTCACATAAAAAAGAAAGGGCCTATGGTTATCAAAAGCATCAAGCTTTATCCCTCACTTTTGTTGGAATCAATTATGTTGCATTGTTGATAACCACACAGAGCAAGGTCGTTTACCTGTTTTTATTTTACCAATGTTTTATTCATTTTAAACTTGTTGCAGACTTAAACGTTAGTATAAGAATTTAACCATTTATCACTGTTCTGACAAGATGGTGGATCAAGCTGTGGTTGGAGCTGGACTGGAATGTGAAACTTGACAATGTTCCAGTAAACCATGGGAGCAAACAAGAATTAAGATCTAATATATGTCCAGCTCTCCAGATGATGTTTCAAATAGAAAATCTGTAATTTTCTTAAATTGTTGTATATAACTTCAATAGGCTGAATCTCTGACACATTCAGTTGTCTGACAAAAGATTTTTTCTATTTTCTTTTGTAATGCTATTTAGGGGAGGTTTAGTCATGTATAATAACAAACAAGAGTATCTCTTTGATTTCATTGTTCTTTAAATGATGGTGCATGGCTAACAAAAAAAAAACATCAGTCAGAAACATTTAACAGAGAGGCCATGGCAATGTTTGCCCTCCCTGCATTAATCTGCTGCATTTAGTGTCTTCATTAGTTCCATCCATGCAGCCACATCACACCTCACACTGGAAAACACATTCAATATGTACTATTTGCCTTTGAAGCTTACAGTGCATTAATCCAAGAATAGAATAATTTTACTGTCTACCCCTGTGAAATCAGTGAACATTGAGCCCTGGAGTCTTTGCTGTTATCTGCTGTCAGCAGAGAAGAAAAAAAAAAAAGAAGCAAAGCCAACCAGCACTACTGCCCTCTTCTGGTGCAGATCAGCACCAAGGGAAACTAATACAAGATCTTATGGCCCTTAGAGACAGGCTCCTGAAATCTTCACACAAGTCACAGTAAAGAACTCACATGGTCCTGCACTACAAACCAGAATGTGTTTATATTCCTCTCAATATAACCTTTATTCCCTCAGTGAAAAATGTTTAATAAATGTATTCAGACTAAAAAAAAAAAATGGAACGAGTGAAATGTGTAAATGTTTTGTTAATCAGTGCCACAAACTAACTGTCTTCCTCCATATCCTTTTTGCTTTGTCCCTCCCTTAGCTCAGTCTCCAGGACTGCTGGGTACATAAGGCCAACGGTGGAATGGTGCTGTTCACCTTCTTTATGTGCCGTATCGCCCTATTCCCCTACATGTACTGGATGTACGGCCGCCACTACGGCATCCCACTCTATAGCGTTCCTTTCCACTTGCCACTCTCCGCCAACCTGGGCAGCTTGTGCATCATGGCGCCACAGGTGTACTGGTTTGTTCTGCTTTGCAGGAAGGGCTACCGACTGTACCAGCGAAGCCGCCTGCCACATGCGCCCCCTGCAGCCGCCGCTGCCGCCAGCTCGAAGGATGATTGATATCCACTCCACAACTGCTTGCTCAAACCGCACACTCAGCTACTAACTCAACCCCACCATGGTACTGTAGTACACCAGGGCTGCCTGCTCTTGTTCCATGATTCCTGGGCATTCTCCGCACACTTTAACTCCTCTGTTAATGAATCTGCTGCCTAAGTGGACCTCTCCTCCACCAATCTAATGCTACTACTGAACTGAAGTGATTTTAATTTGAATTTTTTGGATTTGACTCTGGCCTGGATCTTGTTGTTGTGCTCCACTGTTTCACATTTCCAGCACTGCGGAAAGGTTGTGTGAAGGATGAAAACGAACACATCAGAAACTAAAGAGGAGCTTCCATGGAAAGACTTTACCTTTTCTCTTTCCTCCCACTGTGTTTACAGCAGCTGCTGATTGGGATGGTCTGTTACACTGTCAGCAGGTCCCATTAGAGTGTATGGTTCTGTGTCATAGGTTTTCTTTTCCACTCTCATCCATTCAATTCAGACACTGGCAAGAGGGATTAGCTGTATATTCAGGCAATGTTAGCAGAGGGAAACGTGAGCAATACATTTCACCTCATCTAAACCTGAGAGCTGAAATCAGCCACATCCAGTTAATGTGATAGCCTGCGACTTTTCACCTATGCTCATTCAGCTTTCTGCACAGCATTGCATCAGTTTCAAATGAAAGACAAGACAAAAGTCATTTCAGGATTTAAAAATGACCTGAATTTCATTTTAAGTAACTTCTCTAGATTTGATTTGTAGAGACTGATTCTTTTTTTTTTTTAAATCTCCTTGAGCACATTGAGAAATTATTGGGTAAGATCTGTTCTGTAATATATTGCATTGTGAAAAATTTACTTGAGAGTTACAGATGGCGTGGTGACAGGGAGCTTGGGGGTGTATTGATATTTATTAGAGTTGGTTGTTCCTCCACTCAGGTCAGAGCAATAAGGGGTGCTGCAGCTCATGCAGGCAGATGCAAACAGAGGACTGAAATTCCCAAAACGGGTGTTCTGAGCTTTGATTCTTGATGAGCTCTCACTGTTTCGTTCCTCTGCAGATGCAGAGGTTTGTATGCACTTCCATAGCAGGTGTAGAACTGAGCACTTAACACACAGAGCTTTGTATACCGCTGTTACAGTTTTTACAGATTTAATTTAGACAAATAGTTTTGAAACTTGAATCTTCTAAACCACAGAGGACCATTATCAAGCAAATTCCCTGCTGCAGATCAACATTTATTTCAGGGCATTTGTGTTCGATCAGCATTTCATGCTTAACTTTAGTTATTTAATTCAAAAAAATGTATAGAAAATATTTTATTAGTTCAACACATCATATAGAGGTCATTTTACTCCTTTATTATATTCTTTATGTTTCAGGCTTTGGGATACCTGTGGCCATTTCTTTTTGTCCTTAAAAAATTAATCTATGCAAAAGAGGCTGTGGTGCATGTATTGTTTGCAACGGTAATGTAAAGTCACAGCTAATGTAAAGACTGATCCACAGCTCCTAATGTATGCTCTCTTTTAATCTTTTTGAGAGAACCCTCCATTAATTTCTTAACATTTTTACTCTGCTGAGCAAGGAACATTGAGCCTCTTTAATACATAGGCTGCTCCTTTTAGGGGCAAAAGAAAAAGAAAGAAAAGGCGTCCTTATTAATCGACTACTGTTCCTTCTCATGATTTAACAATTACTAAATGGAGAATATCAGCTCCATATCGCTTTGTCCTTACATGCATCGAGCCAGCTGAGTGATAACATCAGTGTTTTGCCTCTGTTACTACCTCCATTGCGCTCAGAGGTGTATTCACAGCATATAAACTGAGGATCGACTTCCGCCCCACATGTTGCACACTCACACGTGTGTCGTTCTCCGCGTGAAAAGGAAGACGCCAAAGAGGCTCATATCCAGTTCAGTATCAACTCAGTGGTTTTAGAATTTCACGATTCATGATACAGTAACATTTTGCACGTTTAAAGGTACCACTCAGTTGATAAATAGCATTCAGGTAGAGTTCCCACAGCTCCTCGGGCCATCGCCAACACAGGCCGGAGGGCTGACCAGTGATATATATTTTCTAAATGTCACGTCCCCTATCGGACCAATACGGTCGAGTAAAGGAAGTTCCTCCAAATAAAGGATTCTTTATTTGGAGGAACTTTATTATATGGCAACCCTAGATGGAGGCAGTTTTATGCCAACACATGCCTATGGTCCTTATTTTTATCTGCAGTGGAACACTGGCTTAGCTGTGTGTATTGCGAGATGAGTAACTGCTGCAAAAGCTTTACTTTCATGATTTTGGTGGATTTGCTTCATGATGGCTCGTTTCTTTCATTATTATTATTATTCCATTGTCACTGTACTGAACTGTGAATCAGTGTGAATGTGAATGCTGACACCATGTTAATGCGAAATAAGACTATATTTATCAAACGTTTCCTGTTATCGTTAGCATACATCCTCATAAGCTACCAGACTTGGTGATATTGTAGCAGCGGATTTAACCAGTTTCCTTTTTAAAACATCTTTTTTTATCACTTATTATGTTCTGCATCATATTCACATAAGGAGGCCATTGCCTGAATACTAACGGAATCAGTTTGTGTCCAAAACTTTTTAATTTTTTGGTATGAAGTTCCCACCAACATGTTGAAGGTGCTGAGTCAGCTCATTGCTAGATGGCCTGTTTACCAGCTGGGAGTGTGAAGCTGTGGATTTAAGGAGTACCAAGCAGCTAAACGATAGCCTGTTTGTTCGGCTTGGTCCAGCAGAGTGCAGACCGCCATCACCGCCAACATCCCACATTTTTGTGTGTCTTTATTTGCTTTATTTCACCTGAGTTCTCCTACTCTTTCACTTTGTCTGGTAAAATATATATTTCACACAACTTATTGCCAGTTTAAAGTCACAAACATTGATATTTAATTCAGGATTTCTGAGCTGGCGTCCTTGTGAAGACTTTGAAACCTACACAATGTGTCAGCAAAGCAAAGCGAGATACGACTATCCTTTCTGTTATCTGTTGCTAGGGTCATCTGATGCCTGTCCAGTGCAGCTCTCCTAAAGGATTAAGTCTTTAATCACTGTACCTCCCCTTCCATGAAATGCACTGAAAAAAAATACAGGCATATTAAATTATGTTCATTTATATGATATTGAGTATAAACTTGATCTTTAACACCAAATCTGTTACTTTATCGTTGCTTTATTTTGGACATAAAACATCATATAAGACCCAAATTACTGAGGTTCAGCATTCAGCCTTTACACTTTATTTCAACTTGGATACCTGTCAACTTGAATAAAGGGGAAGATATGACAACATTTTGAATATAAGCTGCTTCAGGGTGATGTTTTAGGGTTAGCTTTAAAATTCTATTGTACATCTAACATTCCAGATTTAGGTAACATTTATCCCAATGTAATTATCTAATGTGTATGTTTTGTCCATGTAACTTTTTAAAAATGTAAGTTTATTCTTGTTTTTAGACTTATTTTTAACTCAACCTTTACATTTTAGTATGCATGTCTACAGTAGAAATTTAATTTATTTTCTTACAACATAACCTCGACATTGGCTGAAGGAATGACCGAAGCTTCACTTTAGATTTAAGAAAAAAGAAAGAAGAGTATTTTTTGACCTAGCCTGATTCCAGTAAGTGGCAACATGGAGAAAACCCTCATAAATTGATAATTTATAAAACACCTGAAGTAAGAATTATCTAATGTCAAAGGTATGAAAAGTGTTCCTCATTCAATAGATTCTTAATGTAGAAAATCTCAATGCATCCTTCCCTCCAAGTTTGAAGTATGTGTGCAGAGAGGTTTCTTTAAAATGACAAAAATAGATTGATTATAAAAATCATCACATCTAAAAGTAGCTGGTTCTATTAATCTTTTTATATATCAAATTTTCCTCTGAGTTTTCCTATTTATGATTGCATGGCTTACGTTACTAAGATGTCAAAGGTTTAGTAAACCAAAGACTGGTAGGCACTTCAGTTAATCATATCGACCATATATAATCATATTCAATCCATAAAATATGTTTTGTCTTTATGGTAAAGATTCATATCTAAGGTTAAAACTCAATTGACCTCCAGTCTTAACCTTTTTGTTTAGGTCCCATTTATGAATACTAGGATTTCATAGTAAGTCAAACTTTCCACATCTCCAATAAATAGTATATTGCTGTAAAACTAATAATTTTAGCAGTTAGTTATGGGCACCGCTGCTTCAGCTGCACCATGTGAACAGCATTTACTGTTGTAGATGATTGACAAAAACACTGAAGTGGCAATTCAGTCCATGTTAACATTTTGACATTAATAAATTCAGATTTTGTGCAGATTCTGACACTTTACTTTAGTTTGCTTAGACATATCAGCTTCGAGGCCAAGGCTACATTTCCTGTGTAGAGTTGATAAAGGTCAATGCTATGTCATTCAATAGTTTCTCAGTAGCATTTAAATGTTACTGTCATGTTAACCATAGCATTAAGTTACTGTTAAATTGTTGGCCAAAGTTTTTAAGTCTCAGTTGATATTTACCATGTTGGTTGGCAGATGACTAGATGACTTCAACATTAAGATAAGCATAATTCTTACTAACAGATGAAAACTTTTTTCGTAAACTAGAATGTTGGCTAACATTGTAAAACAGAAATCTCGCCTGCATATTCTAAGGCGCTGAGTCATTTCAGCCTCTGAAAATAAATTTTCTGTCATTTTTGGATGAATAGCTGAAACATTCGGAATGGGAACTCCTGACATTTTAGCACTGTCTCTATATTCAACCATTGGTAAAAGTTATATTGGCTGGTGGTTGACCAAAATCATGTAACTTTAGCTGAATGTGTATTTTAAATTATTTGATTTTTTTTGTATTTTGGGTTTCTTATTTTCTCTTATTAGCATGTTACTCTGATGTGCTAAATCATATCAAGTCAAAGTTTAACTTTCATATATTGTATGATGTTGACCCAGAATAGATTAGGACTAGTACAGGTTAGCAAACGTCAAAACTTTGTTTTGGAGTGATCTGTTTTTCCCAAACACAAATATAAACTTTTGCTGTGTTAATACATTTTTTGTGGTAAAGCTATTGAACACATTATTGCCCTTGCCAAGTGATAGCCACTGCAAACATTTATTATTTTGAGTATGAGTACAGTCTTTTAGCTAACATGTCATAGATAGCGCCTAGAGAAGTTGCAAGCTTCATGCTAACTGTTTGGCTTTGTGACATTTGTTAAAAGACCACATTGAGTCGTGTAAAATTACGATAGACATCAAATTAACACAGTAATACAAACTCATTCTTCTAAACCATGTCAATTCTAAGCTTAGAGTTCACTTAACCTTCAACCAACTTGATTGGCTCAAAGGAATACAATTCTGAATGGCTGTAAACTCAATTTATTTCTTCAACTTGACCTTTAGGTTAAGCTCTCCATTTCAAATACAGTACATTTGGCCTGCTCAACTACCAGGGCATTTATCATGGCAGACTTATGTTTTTATACTGCTGCCATGTCTTCTTATTTAGAATTACAAGTTGTTTTGTTTTGGGTTTTTTGTTTGTTTATTTCAGAAGTTTTTTAGGCCTTGACTAGAAGTTATCTTATGTAAAGGAAAATCCTGTTTCATGTTCGTATCATGTTGGATAATAAATATTGCATGCTTGGATGGGAAGTAGGTTTAACATCAATCACCAATATTCTGCACTTTCCTCCGATGTATGAATTCTGCAATGGGCTGAAAAATGCATTTTAAGCATTGTCAAAAAGAAACCCAACTGTCGCTGGGACTGGTTTTGATCTGTGGACAGTGAACTAATCTTAGTCTACAGTGCCTTTTGAAAAAAAATCTATTTGTGATATCCACAAAACTCTGTGTGAAAGAGCTAAGTTGGCAGGCAGTGTTTACAGGTTGTGGCTGTATTTATTGTCATTTTCATATGTCCATGGAGAGGTTTTTATTTTATTTTCACAATATCCATTTAAAATGGGCTCATAGTAAATAGATTTAATTTAATTGGTTGTTTCAAAATTCAGCAAACACCATAATATTTTATTCGTACAATCTGAGAGTGAACCCTTTAAATTGTATAATATACATATGTCTAAATTTGAATTAGCTTGCTGTGTCTTTCTTGGAGGATTTGGATTTCATTAAGCGTTCTTAAGTCAAATGCAGCACCATCACAACCTTTAACACTTCCTGCCGTATATTATTTTTGATAGCATTCTAATTTTTCATACATATAAATACAGATTTGGTGCATCTGTCGTTTTTGTAGCGTGACCTATGTTTTTGGGGAAATTTACTATCTGACATGAGACTGAACCGTTTTATGAAACGATAAGATGAGTCACATATTATAGCTGCAACCTATGAATCCAGAGCACCCCTTTGAAATTCAATAAATTTGATTTGATAGACTGTTTTGAGCAGACCTTTTTTTTTTTCCACTTCTCTTGGAATGCCAGCAGTCCTGAATTTTGAAATAATATGGATTTCTATTATACACTGAGCGATTCTAACCACATCAATATTCCAGGTTAGAAAAAGGCTTCAATGTTCTTTTTTAACCAACAAGATGACAAAATACCACACTTGAATGCAATCAAGTATCTGCAAGCCCTTCAAACATATTTCCCAAAGTTTCAGTCTGTTCCTTTTAATGCAAACTTACTAATGATAATTTAGTTAGCTAATATGCATATATCCATATATTTTTGCGGATTCTGACATGAATTATTGATTATTTTACATACACTGATGTACCCAACTGGACTAAAAGATGGTGTAGATAAATGTTCAAATGAAAAAGCTCTTTTTTTTAATTTTTTTTTACAGTCAGCCAGTTAATATGTTAAGATGGTAATATTGTTAATATGTTAACTATGCTGCTTCATTCTGCTGTAATGTGGCATCATGGCCACCCAGAGGTGGTGCTGTTTTAATCTGACATCTGTGGCACCTGCCACACTGAAACTATAAAATCACTTGTTCTCCAAAAATCTGTGGGATTTTGCTGGCTATCTGACACAAATGAAACTATTGGAAACGGTTTCATTCGTGTTATTTATTTTTCTTAAATTATTTGTCTTAAATCAATCTTTATTAGCATGTTGGGGATTTCCTTATTCTGCTAATTCATTTTCAGTGCAAATCTATTAATTATTTACCATCATGCCTCATATTGACTGATAGTTATGGAAATTCCTGTATACATAATAAGTAAACTACTATATTTAAATGCAAGTTTTAAAGGACAGATTATCAATTAAATCCAAGAACTTTATATCGACCTGAACTAAGTATTATTGGACCTGTTGTAGGCCTTAAAATGGTATAATAAAACTATTTCCTGCACATTTCCACATACTGAATGTATGTGTTCCTATTTTTCAAACTGGTGTTCCAAGTACAATTCATGTTGGACATTAATCAACACAAATATTGACTTTATGCAAAAATAATTCTATATATCTTCTTATATATTCACATCTAGTGTTTTTCTCATCTGTGTTGATCAGATTAATCTTCTGCATTGTATTGGTCCTCTTATAAAAATGTGTTGAAATGAACTTGATTTTCACTTTCACGATAGCACATAATTTTCTTGAAACTGATTCCCATGTAACCAACAGCACCTTCTTAGTTCTTGCAATATATAAGGCAGCTAAGAGAGATACAACATTTGAATGAGTTTTGCCCCTCCTCCTATTTGATTTTTTTCCTGCCCCCTTCATGTCCCAAAATACAGAGGCAAACCTGCTGCACCCAAGCTTAGGAGACATACATAGCTCAGACAACAAGCTGAGCAGGGGCAGCAAGACTAAATGTCCAGCAATAGTTGATGCACCCAAAGAGGAAGAGGGAAGAGCTGGATTCCTTTAAAAGGTTAGGTTAATTATTCCACAACCTCCACATAAGAAATCTATTTTTCAATTTAGTCTGTAATCTGTTTTCCAAGATGTCATTTGTGTGAATTATCAAACAAGTGTTGCTTGCTTTGACAGATGAATTCAAGAAGTTGGAGAATATCCATGTTGAGAGAAGCCTTCCATGGAGCTTAATGGAACTGTTACAAAATTGTTGCCAAGGAATTTTTGTAAAATTCTGGACAAATAATAAAAGGTTCTTTCAACTTTGCTAAATATTGACATGGAATAGCTGATAGCTGTAAATCATTTTGAGTAGAAAGTAATAGATAATAGTCAAAAACATCATAAATTAAAGTATAAGATTAAAGTTTTGTACAATTTTGTATTAAAGTTAAATTTCGGGTGATCAGAGAAGTCATGGATGAAGCTAAAGAAGGAGCCCAGGAGGCAATGGTAAACAAGGCTCTTGTAAATTTCAAAGCAACCTTGCAAGCAGCTGTAAGTGAGGTACATGTGGATGTAAGTGCTTTCAAGCAGCGCATAGAGAAGAGGATCGACGAGCTGTGCATTTCCAACAGACCCCTGTTTGAGGTGGTGACCAGGCTGCAGGAAGAGAACCTGCAGCTCAGGGCAAAGCTTGAGGCCCTCAGTCGTTTGGTAGAGAGTCTGGCTGGATTGAATATTGAAAGGAATCTTCTGGAAGTTAAGAGGAATGACAAGGAAGATATAGATAATGGCTTGATGTATACACAATCCAAGAGCCAGGAAGAACAAAATGGTAAGGTTAAATCTACAGCATCGGAAAACAACCAGACCACATCTGCATATATAGAACCATCAGCATCAAGTGGAGGATCAAACCTTACTGCTGGCCTCAGAAACAACTCAGCCCATCCTCCATGGAGGACAAAAAGGCACATGGAAATGAATGTGAGTAATTCATTCTCTTTCATCAGTGACCACTGGAGATAGAACATTGCAAAAAGGTTGGCAGACCACATCATGTCCCAGAAAAAACTCATGGCCGAGCGTCATGAGTATGATATCAGCAGCCATGGAAGTACAACAAGTAATGTAAGGTCATGAACCTTTTCGATTTATAAAAAACTAAACATACTGTTGAATAAGACGGATAGCACTTTGTTAAATATCACTCTGTACAAAAATATTAAATCCAAAATAGGTGTGATACTGTAAAATGTACAACTGAGAATAAATTACAATGATTTTCAAGTTTCATTAAACAATATTTTGTTTTCAGTATAACCAAAAATGTATTGAATGGTCAATTTAATCAATTAAATTGGACTTTGTACTATTTTGTTAAAAAAATTGGAGTTTGTCTTGAATTTTTATGTAACAAAATCTACTGTGTAGCAGCCACTCTTCTTTTAACAGCATCTGGGAATTGGGCAGAAGAATGTTCTACCATTATTATCTGACATACAAATCAGGCAGCTCAACAGTTCTGGGTGTACTTTGTGGTATCTTAATTATTTTCAGTTCTAAAAGTCTAGACTGTGTACAGGTCAGCCGAGACCTCAGACTCTTCTTCTATAAATAGAAGTATTTTGAGGTTTAGCACTGTCCTGCTGAAATATCTAATGACTTCCTTAAAAATCTGGTTAGGAGCATTTACATATGTCCAAAACCTGTTTACATTCTAGCTGTGACACTAATAGAGTTAAAGGCCATGACAAAAAATTGGATGATCCCTCATTTTAATTAATGCCTTCAATTTCTTGGAATCTTTTAAATATTCAAAGTCTTTGCAATCTAAGTTGAGGAATCTTAATTTGAAAAATTTGCTTAATGTTTTGTCTACACGTTTTATTGCAAATTTCTGAACTTCTGCCAATCTTTACCTCTGAGAGACTGTTTCTCAAGGTGCCTAATTTAATCTTCTTTTTTTTTTTACATACTGCTCTCATCTAATTCAAAAGAAGCTGACATTTTCAAGGGATGTCATCTATTTTACCCTCAGCAATTCATTTGCTATCAATGTTCTACTGATAGTAAAAGCATATCATAACAAATAATTAAAATCTGATTTGAATTGAATTTGAATTTTTTGCAACTGGGATTTCAAAGATAACACTGCATTTTCTTCTGTGAATTCAAACTAGGAGGAAACAAAATAAGCTGATTTTCAGAAATGTATTAATTAGTCCTTAAACGTTTTAATTGGTACAGGCATCTAAAAACCCAGTAATTTTCAGCATATTCTGCCTTACAAGATGACCTCATTGCAATAAACTTAGACAGCTCTATGCACATGCTTGGGATCAATTCTGTCAAGTGTAGGGTCTTAGGACAGATCACATCTAATCTTTCATCCAGCACATCTTAATTTTAAATTTGGAATATGACACAAGATTTTCCATTACAGTAGGAAAATATACGTCATTGTATTGATTCAGCCTTTCTGACAACAGGTTGTTCAACATTCCGCTGTAATCATTGGTTTGTCAAGATTAATGGCATATTACAACACTGAATAATAGTGATATGGAAGCTTTTTCTCTTAACATAACAAATAAATCAAATGTTCTTATAGACTGAATGGATTTCATGTCAGAGAACATATCAATATGGCTTTGATTTACAAAAGGGGGCTCCCAACTAAAAACGTTAGGGTTCTGCAAGTGTAGTAAATCAATTCTCTTGCCTCAACCATACCATGCCCCACAATCACCACTGTTTGTATGAGATACTGTTGATAAATAATTAAATGGTAGATTTAAAAATCGGAACATAGTGTCCAACAAACCGACCAAGTATGCGTTTTTGAATTTATAAACTCACTCTGTTCCAACTCTCAGAGCTCCTCTGTTTCTAACCCACTATCATAACAGCAGGTCCTCCAAAGGGCAGGTGTATTTTTGGGTCTGTGATATGAGAGTGAGCCACAGCTCTTTTGAACCTTTGCATGCTCTCCACTCACTGCAGCAGCGTGATAACGCCCTACCTTATCTTTACTATGCACTAGTTGTTACCGTCATTGGTGCTGTCAATGAGTGATGCAGTGAATTCAAGGTTGTTTTTTTTAATAAGCTACCACAATGGGGACTGCATTAAAGTATTAGATAAACTGGCTCGGTAAAGAACTAAGATTTGTGTCATCAATACACAAATCATGTGGCACTATGGGATGCTACCAGCTTGTACACTCTGAAGATAGTTATAAACATAGACCCATGTTCTCTAAACCCTCAAGAATTTGATTTCCCAACCAATCCAAATCTCAAGTCACCTAATGGAAAGTTGAATTGCGTCTACTTCGTTAATTAAAGCAGCCAGACTGCAGCCTAAGAGAGAGACAAGCAGCTGTCCTGTCGAAACACACACCCAGCCAACATTCCTCTTTGCTTAAGTCACCTGGTCTTTTCTCAACCATCAACCCCTCAACCCTGACATACAGCAGATAAAACCCCCTAAGCTTAGCCACCTTTGTCAGTTATTTTTTGCCTTGTCATTGACAGTAAAAAAAAATTAGTCTCACAAGACTGTCTTTAATTCTGCCCTAAACTATCCTAATCATTTTGTGATGCAAGATTTAAGAAAAGCTTTCGAGAAAATGCTTTGGTTTTTATCGTTCGTATTTAAAAATTTGCTGCATTTTTCCATTGTTGTCTAAAGTTTGGCTCTGACCTTTTGAGAATCTTTTATGATAGTTTGTACTCATCATTCAAAATCCAAGAGGACTTGGAATCTTTTGAGTCCTTCGTTTCTAAATGCTGACAGAGTACCACATAGAGCTTGCGCTCCAAAAACAGACAGCTACTGAAATAGGAGTGATAAAAACCAAGACCGATATAACTACTATAACTACAAAACTATAAGCTTACAAAGGTTCTGCAGCTTGTATGACAAACTTCAACTGATGCTGGAGCACCTCTTTCACAGTTTGGCAGATCTGACCAATAAGCTGAGTTAGAATTTCACAGAGCATTTTAGGAGAAAGTGACTATGAGTGTGGATGGTTGTTTGTATCTGAGTGGCCCTGTGATGGACCGGCAGCCTGTCTAAGGTGTACCCCACCTCTCGGCCATTGTCAGACGGGATGGGCTCCAGCTCACCTGTGACTCATTTGGGAATAAGCGGAATAGAAAATGGATGGATGGATTAGTGCGTCAGACGTACAGGTGTAAAATTAAGCTTTTTTTATTTTTACAGAAGGTGAGAAGAGGGACTGCATCAAAGTTTAAGTATGAAAAAGATTATGCTCTTTTTAATCTCGCAGTGGATTCAGAAAAGTGGAAAGAAAAGAAGGGGGAGGATATGAAAAAAAGTGCTGTGTGCTGGAAATTGTACCTAGTTCGGTCAGCTAGTTAACCTACTGGGAGTCCAAATTTTATATTAACATCAGCACATTAGTCAATATTCAACTGTATACTATTTAATTAATCTAATATATAGTATGATAAATATATCACGTATATATGGCCTTTTCTCTTTGAAATGATGAGTAAGGATCTGTTTTTCTATTCCCAACTTAAGAATCTTTGTATATATTTTTAAACCAGACTTAGAATTGATGAGGGGGAAAGCGTTTGTTGGTGGTTGAGGGGATTACCAGGGTCAGACAGTCAAACTGATATCCCACAGTAGCTACAGTGTTGTTGCTAAAGCGATCTGTGGGATCTCCAACTGATGATGTGTTGATGGATTGACAGCAATAGCCCTATCCTGTGGCTCCCAGACCACAAAGTTTTTCTGGAAAGTGTAAATGCTGAATGGCGTAGGCAAGGGGGAGACCACAGGAGAAAGCTGAGATAGGTTGATATACTCAGGCTCTGTTTGGACTGCTCTAGCTAACACACGTTGGTTTCCAAAGCATCCATTTGGGGCTATATTTGGGTGTAAGAAGAGTGCAGCGGAAACTCTTGCAAAGGGGCAGATTGCAAAATCTAAAATAGATTGCAGCGGGATCGTAGGTTTGTTGGACACAGCTGTCATTAAAAAAAAGAAGCTGTCAGCTGTTAACAGCTGAAGTTCCCAAATTCAGAGAAGTGAGCAAACACACGCACACACACAGAGCAAAACTAATTTACTATCAATAACACAGACCTAAAAGTAGCTGGTCCCCATGGTGCAGTACTCCGAACAGCAAAAAAAAACGTTTTTGTGAGCAGCTCAGGAATATGTGAAAACGGCTTCATCTAATGTTCAGCCGACCCCCTACCCTCCCTCACTCATTTTGTATGAAAATGTGCATTGTCAGGATATCTGTTTCAATAACAATAATAAACTGAAAAATTATTTAATAAATGAATAACCCCTTAAATCTAACTAAATAAACTAGCGATTTTCTGAAAATATGTCAACCATCATTTGGATGAAATTATTTATCTCTTAGTCATTTTTTTTCTTAAGTATTCTCTTTTCCGGGCCATTATGTTTCGTGTAAGCATTCAAATGTTTTTAACTTGCTTTTGTCTATATTTGACTGCAGCTCAAAAGGCCCTTTGTTTGACAGCATTCACTGAAATAACTAAAAAAGATGGAAAAGCCTAAGGAGTTCAATATGGATTGAGGAAAGTCAGTTTACACAAACCAGCTATATTTCTTGGAGCATTTTAAACTACTGAAGATTCCAAGGTTATTCATTTCAGTCATAGCATGAGTAATTCAAAATAAAAAAATTATTTACTTAAGTGAAAAACAACAACAAAAAAGTCAACAAGATTCCGCTGTACCACTGTCACTGCCTACAATTAAATGGGTGTTACACTGACATGGATTTTGTTTGCTGCCGTAAAAAAGCCCAGCAACAAAACAAATATTGATTTTCTTGGGAAACCAACTCTTCTGAGAAATTTAAAATTTTATTTCTATTATGAGTTTGTATAAGTCTCCATACAACATATTGTACCCTCTTTGAACACCTTGTATCATATATGCTTTTGACATTAGCTCACCCCAACAATTTGATTCGTCCTTCTCAGGGTGTAAATAACCTTAGATATCTGTGAAACTTATTTTGTATTCCTGAAATAAAAATACTATTTTTATTTACTAGTAAATGCAATATGTGTTCCTCTTTTCTGTACAGGGAACGGATGTCAAGGAAGATGTCACTCACGTAGCCACAATTACACCAGAGAATCACAAACATCAAGGTGGGCTACCAGGTTTATAAAAGGGGACCTCGACAGACCTTACTTAATGCTTTACTTTTCTTTTAACAGAAAACATATCAGTCAATTCTGACAGAGCCCAAATGGCTGAAGCTCTTCTGCAGGCCCACCAACCCTTGATTGCCATCACCAAAAAAAGTCAAGAGTCCTCTTCCATGGAAACCCCCAGCTCTCCTGGTCCGTTCATGCCCTCTTCCCCCTTCATTAGTTCACACTTTGAGTAAGAGTGAAAGAAGAGAATTGATGACAAACCTGATCCAGCACCTTAGAAAAACTTTAAAAATTCTATGAAGCTGTGATCATAATACAAATGCTCTCATTAAAAAAATATGGCCCCGTGTTTATTAAAATACTCATCTCACATAAATCTCAAATCAAACTTTTTCTTACTAAACATAATTGTAACTTTATCAGTAATAATTACTTAGGGTTGGCCATGCAGAAAAACTGCTGTTGATATTTGGATGGATGACCTGCTTTCCTTGCAGATCTCAAAGAATCTGATCCTCTGACCAAACCACATCTTCCCCTAACTGCAATTACAAGATCAAACTCAGAAGTGCCAGCAACTGATCAGTCGTCATCATTGGTGGCCAAAGCAGCAAAAGAATCTCAATTAAAAGCAACAGAGTCTACAGCAAAGTGTGGTGAGTGGATAATCTGTATCTGCTGTAAATTCATCCATCCATCTCTCCATTTTCATCCATTTATCTGCGATTGAGATGCTGAAGCAACAGGTTCAGGAGGGAAGCCCAGACATCCCTTTCCCTAGCCAGAAGGGGCATGTAATCCCTTCATTGAATTCTTAGTGTGCCCTGGAGCCTTCTCCCAGTATATAAAGCACACCTTTCTCATAATTAATCCCCTGTTTTTTTGTAAAACCTCAATTTCAATTGTGAATCTGGTTTCCAAGGTGGGGAATTACACAGATATTAACACAGCAGTGATTGATTGTTGTTTTTTGTTTGTTTGTTTTTTCAATTCCTGATTTTTCGAATGTATATTTTTCTTTTTTTAGATGCTGCTGAAACAAAACGCCATTATCCTGTCACTGCCACGACATCTAAAGTGAGTTCAGAAGGCTCGCTTGCTTCCAAACCAGGACCACCATTAGCAGCTAAATCAGCAGGTGAGGGTCCATTTCCAGGTCAGTCAGACCTGTACAGAGGAATTAATCCTCATCTGAAAAGGATCACAATTATTTGGTCAAATGATCATGTCTAATGTTTTTTGTTCTTGGTCACAAATCCCAAAGTCTTTGTTTGGACGAAATTCTTTTGGTTTTGCCACTCCTTTCAAAAGAAGAAATAACATTTTAAAAAGAATAAATAAAGTAAGTCCATAAGTTCTTCATTGATTTAATTTATGAAAAAGCCTACCTGCGATATTCAATGTGTAATGTTAAATTATATTACCATTTATACACATACAATTTCCCATCACCTTAGCATCCAACTAGCAACTCTTCCAATCAGCATGACCCATCTTTTAACAAGTCAGCATATCAACCCTGCTCAAAACTCTGAATGAAAACCTTCAGAACCCCTTTGATGGGTCGGATCGAAGGAATAGATGGTAATATGGGATGAATAAACGGAAACATGTACACCATTTTTACCAAACTGGGAAATTCTGGTGTCACACAGGATGCATGGACAAATTCACTCAACAAACAGATTACAAATAGAAAAATAGTGTATTCACATTGTAAAGTAGCTGAAAAAATAGATGTATTAACATTTCTTTGATATTTAAACAAATACATGTATTAAATAAAACAAATGCATTAATTAATCGAATTTAATAACGATGATCATAATCTGAGAGTAACTATTTTTAACTGTTTAAAACTCTTAGGACTGTTTCAAGAAAGGATCTGCAGTTACACATCATGTAACTGCAGACATTGACAAACCTAAGCCATCTCTGGAAAAAGGAGACAGCTCTGGCCCTTCCTCTACCCTGCTTCTATGTTGGCAGACCACTCCAGTTTGTTATCCAGAAATATCCCTAGTATTTTACAGGTCTGACTGAGTTGGGGTTGGGGCTGGCATAGTTTTAGTTCCTGAAGTCCACCACAAATCCTTTGGCCTTTGTGTTGTGCAAGAGGAAACAGTTGTTGTTTTTTGTCCAGCCATTGAGGACCTCTACAAACTCCCTGTACTACCTCTCTTTTCCACTGCACACACATGCCACAACATCAAGTTAATAATGAAATAACTAAACAAAAACTACAAATCAAACATTTCATTATCAAACACATAAAACAAAATTAAGGAAAAAACTCAAATGTAAGGGCAAAATCTTGCAAGCAAATGATCCTTACTCTATGGACATGAACCTGGTCATCAGTGTAGCATTAGTTCCTTGTGTCAAAAGTTCTTCCTCTGTCAATTTTCTAGTTGAACTGTTACATTCAAACCAGCGCAGGCACATCTGGAATCAAGGAACTGATATCCCAGTCGGGCCTGGAGCAGTTAGACTCTATTTCTCAGGCTTTTCCCGCCCTCCCCTCATAGCCATAACCAAAAGCAGCTCGGAGGCTCCTGCTGCATCTAAACCTCAACATATTTCAGCACAAAATCATTCAGTAACGCAATCACCCAAGATGAAGCAAGATGATCATCCTTTCAGATTCAGTGTGTAGAGTGTTATGAAATTTGAAGTTTGTTGTTTTGAGATTTTTTCTATATGAATGTGCATATGTATGTTTGCTTATGTTTTTAAAAAGTTAGACACGTATTTTTAATGGTTTTCAATCTTTCAGCTGAGGATCTGTCCTTTATCTCTCTTTCCTCTAGACATCATTGAACCTAAGTCCAGCATGCCCTCTTCCCTCAACAAACTGAATGCAGAATCTACATTGCCAACTGCAGCTCAGTCTCTAAGCCACCAAGAAGCAATAGAGCCAACATTAAAACCTGGGGAATATCCCTTTAAGAGGGGTAAGTTTCCAAAAGGATGCAAGGATGGTCAAGAGAGTATTTCCAGTTTCTCTAACTCTCTGTTGTTGTAATGAAAATTGTATCCATTGTTTAAAACACATGTTTTGTCTGTATGTCTGTATTCTTCTTGTTTTGTCTTCATTTTAATTCAGCACCAGTTCTCAAAACAGTAAGTCCCAGTTTAAAGAGAAGTGTGAGCTTTCCTCAATCTGCAGGTACAGTCCTGCAAACCTATTTTTGAACAATATTTTTGTAGTTGTTGTAACTGATCATTTTCTGCTTATTTTTCATGTTGTCCAAGTCACTCACTTTGAGCTTCTCAAACTATCTCTCTGTAGAAAAATTACTTCCCTCCAAGTCCTTCATAACATCTGGATTCTCACCTAATTTGGACAAGTATGCTGTGTTTTGTCTTCAACATTATGTAAAGATTAATTAAACAACATAACAATGACTGTGACATGATTTACGGCTGACGTTCATCTGATGCTTCACGTTTCTTTCTGTTTCTTTTCAGGAAGTTGAACAAGCCAGATGGGCTTGACTTTAAGCAGAATTTTATGAAATCACAAACTCCGCCACGCTCCAATGGAGCCCAAGCTAAACGGGCCCTTTTTGAAAGGATGAACTCAGAGCCCGTGAAGTAAGTTTTCCAAAGTATTTCCTCACAATTTGTTGTTTATTTAACAGCTTGGTTTTTGCCATAAATTTGCCATAATTCCTTCCAAAATAGGCTTAAGGATTCCAAACCTAAACTGAAGCGCTCCCAGAGCTTTGGAGTTTCCAGTGCTAGTGGAATAAAACAGATTCTTCTGGAGTGGTGTCGCTCAAAAACCATCGGCTACCAGGTCAGACTGTAGCTCGATCATGGATCACTTGAACATTTTGACAGTTTTTATCTTGTCGTTTCACCTTTTGCTTTTTCATTAGTGAAGCATCAAAAGTCTTTCTCTGTGGTGGGATAGAAGGCAACTTCTCATTTTGTCTTTGAAATCTAGTTTCCCTGTGAAAAGTTTCAGGCTTATAAGTCAAAAACTGTTAGTTAGCATAATTACTAAGAATATACAAGTCCATTTAGTTAATAGATCATACTTGAACCTCTATGATCTAAGAGAAGAAACCCTTCAGCTGACTTATGTCTGAGCACTTTGGATTGAAATAAGTGGAGTGAATGAAAATTCACCAAAAGTACACTGTATATGTCTACTTTTTCCAGTAAACATATGAAGGGATTTTTTACTGAGTTGTTTGTCATCATCTTTCTCTCAGAACATTGACATCCAAAACTTCTCATCAAGCTGGAGTGATGGGATGGCCTTCTGTGCTTTGGTCCACTCTTTCTTCCCTCTTGAGTTTGATTACAATACACTGACTCCGGAAAACCGCAAGCATAACTTAGAACTGGCCTTCACCTCTGCAGAGTAAGCTTGCTTATTGATCTGAGTGAAATTCAACACTTTTAAGTCAGTATCCAATGTTGTGGATTAGAATCATCTCAATTCAAGAAGCTTATGCATGTAGCTGGTTTCCATTTTGTTTGGTGTATTTCAATAATGATAACTTTTGTTTTTTAGGAAGCAGGCCGATTGTCTGCGTCTGATTGAGGTGGAGGATATGCTTGACATGGGGGACAAGCCAGATCCCATGTGTGTGTTTACATATGTCCAGTCGCTCTACAACCACCTGAAGACATTTGAATAACTCTGCATCAGAGTAGTTTACAAAGTCTGTACATATAAAAAAAAATAGCAAGGAAGCTTGGAAAAAAAGCAGGCAGTTTTTGGTGATGACTTTTATTCTGTGCGAGTGTTCCCCAATTTCCCCACTTGCTACGGCATTTAGATAGAGCTAAATATTCTTAAAATGCTGTTTTCTATCACGTGTTGTGATGTTGTGTACAATGTTACACAATATAGGTTTTTGTATAATTGCCAAATCAGTTATATGGTATCCACGTGGACAAAAAGTGAGCATTTCCCTGTTATGAGTCTTTGTCTGGGAACAGGAGCAATAATTCATTTCAGTTTTACTCAAGCGCCAAATCATAACAAATGTTATTTCAAGGCACTACCGAGATGGAGTTTAGCTCAAGTCCAGAGTATTAAAATTCCTTAACCAAGTGTGGTCTGAGATGACAGGAAAAAGGAAACAACATACACTTTGACAGCAGGTCAGGTACACCTACAGAGAAAGAGACACACAGGTTGATGATAACAAAAATGTCTTGTGTACAAAAGGGAAGAACAGAGGGACTATTGGTTAATCATTGGAAGTCCCCCAGCAGTTGAAGTCTATATCAGCATAACTATAAAATGATTCAGGGTCACTTAAGCAGTCAACATCTAAGGTTTATCCATAAAGCTTAAAGCTTAATCTTACAGGTACAGACATTATTATGCTTCCTGTATCCAGGCAGCTGGTTCCATGAGAGAGGGGCCTGGTAACTGAAGGGTCTGCCTCCAATTCTACTTTTAGAAACTCTACCAACCTCAGACCTGCAGTCTAAGAGCAAAGTGGTCTGCTGTGAAAATATCCAACTATGAGCTCTTAAAGACATGGTAGAGCTTGGTCATTAAGAGCTTTGCATGTGAAGAGCAGAATTGAAATTCTTTAAATTCTATTCTTAATTTAACAGGGAGCCACTGAAAAGCTAAAACCATGGAAATCTCTGGTGCTAGTTCTCATCAGAATTCTGGCTGCAGCAGTTTGGATCAGCTGGAGGCCTTTCAAATATTTTTGGGGACAACTTTGATAATGAGGAATTGCAGGAGTCCAGTCTTGATTTAAAATTTGCATGGAGCACTACATTTTCTGCATGAGTGCTTGACAGGATTTCCACATACTGGCCATATTATGAAGGTGAAAGGAGGTAGTCATAGTGTGAGTCAAAGTAAGATTCCCAGTCAAAAGTAACTCACTCCTCACAGCTGTACTGAAATCCAAGGTAAAGGCATGTATAGTTACTCAGTGTCATCATCAGAAGTGAGATTTGATTAAGTCTGTGCATGTTTATAAAAGTGTTCACTGTTTCGGTGACAGCAGGAACTGTTAACATCTTTTCACAACAAATCTTCACAACATCCTGTGTGAAAGCTTTTATATTTGGTGGCCTAAAATTAAAAGAGCAACATTATTTAGCTTCTGATAGATGAAAAACAATCAAAGCACCAATGTAAAAATTAATAGAACACTTTTTCTCTGTGGTTGATGCTGTGATTTGATGCACTAATTTGTGAACATAAAGACAGAGTGGACAATCTAAGACTTGTTTTCATTCATGGTCAAGTAACTTTTTAGACACATGTCTCATGTATGGGTTTTCCATACAGATGGAAAACCCCTGATGTATGAACCCAGTCAAACTGAACGAATACATTGCCACCTGTTGGAGAAAAGAAAGGAATGTTTAATTTTCTCTATACACGTATATTTTACTGACAAATAGCAGAACATCTTGATGAGAAGTTGTCCAAAAGTATAGTTGTCTAAGGGGTAGCAGAGTGAGCAGAAAGAAACTAAAACAGGATATTTAAATTCCATTCAGTTCAACAAATTTCGAGCTAGCAAATCATCTATCCTTGAAGGAGAATTACTACTGCAGGCTGCATTCGGTGCAGTACTATACTACTCTATTGATCAGTTTTGTTTAATGTGAGATTTACAATTTCATGTACCCACAATAATTGAAGGTCAGAGATGTCAGGGATTTTCAACCAACTGATCAAAATGTTAGAAATGGCAACAGTTGCTATACACAACAAGGTACCCAAAAGATAAAGAAGACTAAAGTGTGAAACAAGGATTTTTTGCTTGGGTGATGATGAGATCCGACGGAGTAATTAAATCCGATCCAGATACTCTCTACTCTTTCAACAAATGATTTAGACATAATATGTTTAGTATTATTATTATTATTTGGGTTTTAACTAGTGCTAAGGTAGCTGCTTTTGTAATTGCCTGTTGGCCAGTGGTTTGCATTGAAATGGTTTTGTAAATTTATTTGAAGTTGCATATAAACAAGAAAATGCAGACCTTTGGTAAGGGCCACAACATGTCAGCTGCTTACAGAGTCACAAACCACTTGGTAAGTCCAAGTTTTTTTCCCCATAGTCTGGCAATGATTTAAAAAAAGGTTAGTAATTTTATTTGGCATTTAAGAGGTAATGCCATTTTGGCTGATACAGGCTGGATTTACCATAATTCTGCTAAGGTCATGTACCCTGTCCCCAGTGCCACCTGCACCCATCGATAGAATAAATGTGACATCTGACATACATAAGAAATTTTCTTTTGACTTAAACATATCTAAATAAATACATCCTTATGTCTATAATTAGTAAATATTGGATGCATTTATTAAGAATATTATAATTTGATATAAGAATATTATAATTTGAAAACCCCTCCCTGGGCTGCCACCTTATTTATCGTGGTGGAGGGGTTTGAGTGTCCCAGTGATCCTGAGCTATGTTGTCCGGGGCTTCAAGCCCCTGGTAGGGTCACCCAGGGCAAACAGGTCCTAGGTGAGGGATCAGACGAAGTGCAACCCACAAGACCCCCCATGATGATTACGACAAATGGACCCAATGTTCCCTCGCCCGGACGCGGGCCACCGGGGCCCCCCCCCCTGGAGCCAGGCCCAGGAGCGGGGCACGATGGCGAGTGCCTGGTGGCCGGGCCAAGCCCGAAAATGCAACATGGGTCCCCCGTCCCATGGGCTCACCACCCATGGGACGGGCCAAGGGGGTCCGGTGCAGTGTGCCCTGGGCGGCGGCCGGAGTCGGGGACCTTGGCAGACCGATCCCCGGCTGCAGAAGCTGGCTCTAGGGATGTGGAACGTCACCTCTCTGGTGGGGAAGGAGCCTGAGCTGGTGTGCGAGGCGGAGAGATTCCGGGTGGACATAGTCGGTCTCGCCTCGACACACAGCTCTGGTTCTGGAACCAGCCTTCTCGAGAGGGGCTGGACGCTCTGCTACTCTGGAGTTGCCCCCGGTGAGAGGCGCCGAGCAGGAGTGGGCATACTCATTGCCCCCCATCTCGGTGCCTGTACGTTGGGGTTTACCCCAGTGAGCGAGAGGGTAGCATCCCTTCGCCTTCGGGTGGGGGGACGGGTCCTGACTGTTGTTTGTGCCTATGCGCCTAACGGCAGTACAGAGTACCCACCCTTTTTGGAGTCCTCTGGGGACTCCCTCATTTTGCTGGGGGACTTCAACGCTCACGTGAGCAACGACAGTGAGACCTGGAGGGGCGTGGTTGGGAGGAATGGCCCCCCCAGCTTGAACCCGAGTGGTGTTCTGTTTTTGGACTTCTGTGCTCGGCACAAATTGTCCATAACGAACACCATGTTCAGACATAAGAGTGTCCATATGTGCACTTGGCACCAGGACACTCTAGGCCGCAGCTCAATGATCGACTTCGTTGTCGTTTCAGCTGATCTGCGGCCATATATTTTGGACACTCACTTTGGACACTGGGTGAAGAGGGGGGCGGAGCTTTCCACTGACCACTACCTGGTGGTGAGTTGGCTCCGATGGTGGGGAAGGATGCCGGTGAGACCAGGCAGGCCCAAACGTATTGTGAGGGTCTGCTGGGAGCGCCTGGCGGAGTCCCCTGTTAGGCGGAGCTTTAACTCCCACCTCCGGGAGAGCTTTGAGGACGTTCCGGGGGAGGCGGGGGACATTGAGTCCGAGTGGGCCATGTTCCGCGCCTCCATCAATGACGCGGCCTCCCGGAGCTGCGGTCGCAGGGCTGTCGGTGCCTGTCGTGGCGGCAACCCTCGAACCCGCTGGTGGACACCGGCGGTGAGGGATGCCGTCAGACTGAAGAAAGAGTCCTATCGGGCCTTTTTGGCCTGTGGGACTCCGGAGGCAGCTGATGGGTATCGGCAGTCCAAGCGACATGCGGCTTGGGTGGTCGCCGAGGCAAAAACCCAGGCGTGGGAGGAGTTTGGGGAGGCCATGGAAAAAGACTTCCGTACAGCCTCGAGGCGATTCTGGTCCACCATCCGGCGTCTCGGGGGGGGAAGCAGTGCCCCACCAACACTGTTTACAGTGGGGATGGTGTGCTGTTGACCTCAACTCGTGACGTTGTGGATCGGTGGGCGGAGTACTTCGAGGACCTCCTCAATCCCACTGGCGCGTCCTCCATTGGAAGGGCAGAGCCTGGGGATCCGGAGTTGGCAAGGCTCCGGGGGTGGATAAGATTCGGCCGGACTTCCTCAAGGCTTTGGATGTTCTGGGGCTGCGTTGGCTAACGCGACTCTGCAACATCGCGTGGAACGTTGGACCAGCTCTATACCCTCAGCGGGGTCCTGGACGGTGCATGGGAGTTCGCTCAACCAGTCCACATGTGTTTTGTGGACTTGGAGAAGGCGTTCGACCTAGTCCCTCGGGGTATCCTGTGGGGGGTGCTCCGGGAGTATGGGGTACCTGGCCCTTTGTTACGGGCTGTTCGGTCCCTGTACGACCGGAGTGAGAGTTTGGTTCACATTGCCGGTAGTAAGTCGGACTCGTTTCCGGTGGGAGTTGGACTCCGCCAAGGTTGCCCTATGTCTCCGGTCCTGTTCATAACTTTTATGGACAGGATTTCTAGGCGCAGCCGAGGTGTTGAGGGTGTCAGTCTTGGTGGCCTTAGGATCGCATCTCTGCTTTTTGCAGATTATGTGGTTCTGTTGGCTTCATCAAGTCGGGACCTACAGCTCTCGCTGGAGCAGTTCGCAGCCGAGTGCGAAACGGCTGGGATGAGGATCAGTGCCTCCAAGTCCGAGACCATGGTCTCTCACCGGAAAAGGGTAGAGTGCCTTCTCCGGGTCGGAGCAGACGTCCTTCCCCAAGTGGAGGGTTCAAGTATCTCGGGGTCTCGTTCACAAATGGGGGTAGGGAGCGTGAGATCGATAGGCGGATCGGTGCGGCGTCTGCAGTAATGCGGGCGCTGTACCGGTCTGTCGTGATGAAGAGCGAGAACGTAGATCGACCGATCAATTTATCGGTCGATCTACGTTCCCACCCTCGTCTATGGCCACGAACTTTGGGTAGTGACCGAAAGAACGAGATCGCGGATACAAGCGGCCGAAATGAGTTTCCTCCGCAGGGTGGCTGGGCTCTCCCTTAGAGATAGGGTGAGAAGCTCGGCCATCCGGGAGGGGCTCAGAGTAGAGCCGCTGCTCCTCCACGTGGAGAGGAGCCAGTTGAGGTGGCTCGGGCATCTGATCAGGATCCCTCCTGGTCGCCTCCCTGGGGAGGTGTTCCGGGCTCGTCCCACCGGGAGGAGGCCCAGAGGAAGACCCAGGACACGCTGGAGGGACTATGTGTCCCGGATGGCCTGGGAACGCCTTGGGATCCCCCCGGAGGAGCTGGCGGAAGTGGCCGGGGAGAGGGAAGTCTGGGTCTCCCTGCTTCGGCTGCTGCCCCCGTGACCCGACCCCGGATAAGCGGAGGATAATGGATGGATGGATAATTTGAAGAGTAAAAATATTTAACTTTACATAAGAAGAAATATGTAATTTTAGCACTCTGACAAAATGACATATTTCATATTAGTTTTCAAATGAAAGTCAGCCAAACAAATTATACTTCTAAAGTCACTAAATTAGCAATAAATCTTGCAGTCTTGCAGAGATTATACCAAAATACTTACAGCGATTTTATAGGAAAGGAGACATCCTTTCCTAAACTCCCTAAATGATTGCTTTGAATAAGATGCAGTTTGAATTATTTTCACGCATTTCCCTCTACTTTATGTTAGATATGAGCTCTAACATAAAGCTCTCTATTGGGCGCTCTTTAATATCAGTGAGAAATTTTACATGGTAATGCAGCTCTCTGAAAGAGGGTCCGAACATCTAGAGAATTCTTGATGATAATCTGATGATAATCTGGTGATAATCTGATTAACCCTTCATGCATGAAATATGTTAAATTTGGTGAGGATTTATTATTTTTTTAATTTTCTTTAGGCATAAAAAGGGGATTTTTTTTAAAAAGTGTTCATTCAAGAATTTTTCCACATGTCTATTCAAGTGGACATGATACGTGTTCACAGTCTTTGCTAATAAAATGCTGTATTTTACAATGTGAACATATTTTAAAATTTGTTAAAAGAATGTATTAACATAGAACTTTGCATGCAATTTTCATCCTATTCAAATATTTATTACTATCTCATCCCATTTCACACCAGAGCTCATTCAACCCCTTGATTTATTTCTGTCTGTCTCAGCTCTTCTCTAACAGTATATTATTGTTATATTTTAACATTTTTATTGCATGATCCACCAGTATCAACGCCAGTGCACATTTAAAACATAGAAATACATATACAGAAGAAAACGGCCTTTGAAAAGCTGTTAATTGTAGTGACTGCTACGCATGAAGGGTTAACAGGGAAACAGGTTCTGGACCATTAAAATCCTTTACATATTCGCTAGTAATGACAGGAATGTCACTGTATTAAAGACTCTTCAATAGTGAAGTAAATACTCTCATGGGTAAAAAGTCAAGAAGAGGTCAATGGTCAAACTATATCTGTCTTTAAAAAGATTATAGTTGCTAATCCATGCAAAATACTGGAGACGGAAAAAGTTGCTTTGGGCCGGTGACTGTGATAGGCAGGCAGAATGAAGAAAAGGAAATAATTTGACATGGAATTAGTCAACGCATTCTACAGGTAAGAAAGAAAGCTCAGGCCTTCACGTTTGGAATATGGAGGGGGTTAGCTGAATATTCCAAATAAAAGTGGGAACTCTCTCAAATTGCCATTGACAATTAAATGGAGAACCGGAAATATACATGGCAGTCAAGAGGAGCTTATCATGCCAGTTACGTTTGGGTCAAATTTCTTTTGCAAGCTTTAAGGTGCCTAGCAGCTGACCCACTAAAAGAAAGAAAAAAGTAGAGAGGGAAAATACATCCTTGTCGAAGTAATTTACAGAGGCTAAATCTGGGTGATGTACAACCCATTTTTTTGAGGGAGCTCTTCTTATCTATATACAAGGTACTGACAGGTGAGTTTGAAAAATAAAGACATGATAAAACTTTTAAAACCTCAATAAGGTGTATCTTCTTAAGAAGTTTTGTGCAGGTCTAAAATGTCCTGATTTTGACAAAAATGTTTGTATTGCATGAGCCACCAGTATCCACTTCAGTGGCCTATGCACAAAAATGTCATACCGAGTTTTTGTAAAATCTGACTGAGTTTAGTGGTATCTTTAAAAAATAACTTCTATAATAACCCTTTATGATAGTGATCATTTCATTTAATTATCAGGATCAAGAAGACACACTAGACACTTGTAATCAAAAATAAATGTTATTCTTAAGTTGGTAGAATCCAGATATAAGAAAATGGTGTTGTAATACTAGTACATAATGTATGGCAATATTTAAAGATTTGTTTATCTTTAACATCAATGATGGCATTGTTGAGTGTGCTGCTTTTCAAGTTATATATGTAATATATAGTTTTAATAGTTTTGTTTTTCCTCTTGCCATGTCTTGAAGACCTGATTAAAAAAAAATCCTTGGTCGGTGTACAAGACTTTTGAGCTCAACTAGTTTTTTGTGTGACACGTGTTTCCAAAATCAGCACTGTTAAATAGAAAAATGAATGGCAAGGTTATTGATTTATTGTAATTTCAAAAGACTGCCTGTTATGTAGCTACAGTGATTGTCACCTTTTAGGATTTACATATTTTTTTACTTTACAAACGGTCCTGCGATGGACTGGACACTATCCAGGTCGACCCGCCTCTGGCCGTTGTCAGCTGGGATAGACCTCAGACCCTCATGACCCTGTTGCGAATAAAGGAGTTGGAAAAAGGATGGATGGATTACTTTGCAAACCAGGTTTGTCAAATATCAGGTTCAATAAACAACAAATTGTGAGAATGCCTAGAAGCATTCTCACTATTGTTTTCCTGTTCCTATTCCGTATGTTTTTCGGCATCTAACTATGTCGACAGTTTCAAGGTATCAAAACGTTCAGCTTCTTCAGGACAATGCAGCTATGATTTTTGGTGTTAAAATCTTTTCAACTTTTAATAAATCTTTTAATTAAATTCATTTTTTTATTTTAACTTTTAATTTTTAAATGATTCAACTTTTTCTCATTTTATTCCTCTCATAAAAATGAATGGAGTCAAATGTCTGGCTAAATCTGCTGGTCACTGGCATTTCAGCCCCATCAAAATTTTGCAATGCAGCCTTGTTGACTCGGGTATAGCTAGATGAGAGCGTTTGACTGTAGCTTGAGAAATCGCCGGTTCAAATCCCGTTACAATCTTCTGCTACCTTAATGATAATTTCATGGCCTTTTATTAATGACTCTTCATTTAATCCTGTCGCCATTCTTATTCAATCTTCAATTCTATGTCTTTTTCAGCTTTTTTTTTTTGGCTTCTTCTGGTTCCTCCATTCACCATTTGGCATTCCCACAGCTGTTCCGCGTGTACAGCATATTCTACTTGCAAATATTTGTTTCTTTCAACTAAACCAAGAAACCAAAGCTAAAAAACAGAACAAAAAACAACAAGATAGAACGTCTCTAATTACTTATCAAATGTAAATTTGCTTGTGTTTATTGTAAACATAGGACCTAATTTAAAACATGGATTTATGTGGTCTTACAATGTTTGAAGACCTCCTATTATTTTTGTTCAAACATAAAATGTAATTCATTTTACAAAAGATTATTGTTGTGCAGGAACGCTTATAATTTATTTGCACAATTTGAATATTTAATGGTATCGTCCAATTGGTATTTAATTGATTTTTATACAGAATAGGAGTATATATTTGTATTATTCCCATGTTCTAAGGGGCGTGAATGCAGCGCTTCCCATTGACTGGGCATCCCTTCCGGTAGATGAGGTCAACTTTTTCCTAGATCCGCCATTTCAGTCCTGGAGTTTCTTCTTGAATATTACTTTTCTATTATTTACTTATTCTGACGTATAACCAGTTAATAATTTCCGTTTGAATTTCAGTGGTAGTTACCGACTAAATAGTTTGGATTACCGTTAAAAGTTGGTTGAATCAAGGATACCACTGCGTTTTTCCAGCGTCGAAATTAGTCAACCAAAGTTTTGTATGAGTTGCAGATAAGGAGAGGGAAAGGCCTGAAGCCTCGGACGGGATTCCACAGGCTGGTACCATGGCTGGTAATTTTGATGCCGAAGACCGGCCTAGTTGGTACTGGGGACGACTGAGTCGCCAGGAAGCAGTTTCCCTTCTTCAGGGACAGAGACACGGCGTTTTCTTGGTGAGGGACTCGATCACCAGTCCCGGCGACTACGTGCTCTCCGTTTCAGAGAACTCTAAAGTGTCCCATTACATAATCAACAGCGTCAGTAACAACCGACAGTCTGGCTCAGGTAACTCCAAACAATCCCTTTCTTAGCTTCATGTGTGGCTAACTAATGAATATTTTGTTGTGGAATAATTGTAAATTAAATTGGAGACTCTTTCGCTAGCTAGCTAGCTATTAGCAACCCGTCCTTATTGGTTAGTTCAACTTTTATTTTTCTGGCTGAGGGTCGAGGCGGTGTATCTGGTGGTTCCATGGCGTTAAGAATGTGGGCTTCAGTTGTAGAGGTTGACTTGGGCTGGGCAGGTTTTGCTGTCAGAATGACGAATGGTCCGATTGGCGATTCTGGTACGTCTGTGATCCAGCCCTGTGTACTCTGCTCTCTGAACTGCTGCAGTGCTTCCAGTTAGTCACTGCAGTTTGGCAAATTGTCCTCATTGGCGACCCTGTGGATTTGGGTAATCTGTGCACACACCAACTGGAAACTTGGTTGCATTGTTAGATTTTATTATTTCAGTGAATGACTTTATTTATCCAACTTATTGGATGCAAGACATTTCTTCAGTTCAGGTGAAGAGTGTGTCCACAGTGCTCTGCCGTATGTTGTATCTAAAGTTATGGTATGAATCTAGAAATAAAGAGATATTTTAGGTTTGGTAACCATAACAGCTCGTAATCTACGAGATGAGATTAAAAAATGATAATTTTTGTGTTTCCAGATGTTTATATCAAGGTGATTTGAGCTTCAAGAATGATTAAATTAAGTTATAGTTATTAGACAGCTTTTTATTTTTTTTTTTCAAATTCAGCTCTGTCGAGGCTTTGTTTATTTATGTCTAATGGTGTTATTTACATATCACCTTCTCTCTCCTCTCAGGTTTAGCTCCTCCGCGGTTTCGGATCGGTGATCAGGAGTTTGAGGCACTTCCAGCTCTGCTGGAGTTCTATAAGATCCATTATCTGGACACGACTACACTCATAGAGCCTATAAGTAAGGCTGAACACACCGGCTTTGTCAGTTCCTCCACTGCTGGGATCCCACAGCAGCCTGAGGAGGCTGTATTTGTCAGGGCACTGTTTGACTTCCCTGGAAACGATGAGGAGGACCTCCCTTTTCGATTGGGGGACATCCTGCGTGTGCTTGAGAAGCCGGAGGACCAGTGGTGGAATGCTGTAAACCAAGAAGGCCGAGTTGGGATGATCCCTGTACCCTATGTAGAGAAGTACCGACCTGGCCCGCCCCCTGCTGCCGGCCTGGGTCCCCCAGTTTTAGGAACCAGGTCAGGGGGGCATGTTGTAGGGCCCGTGGGCAGCACAGATGGGACAGGAGCACCTCAGGCCAACCCTTTAGGGGACCCAGGCCAGTACGCTCAACCTGTGGTCAACACCCAGCTTCCCAACTTACAAAATGGGCCTGTGTATGCGCGGGTCATTCAGAAGAGGGTGCCCAACGCTTATGACAAGACAGCTCTCGCACTGGAGGTAGCAATCCCATTCACCATTACCCACACCTATGATTCCTGTTAACTGTGAGGTTCTTTGCCTCTTTCAGCAGAGGTTGTGTAGATTGTCCTCATTGTAATAAGGGCTCACTAAATGCATGGGAGTTTACACATAAAGTGTCTTTTTGAATACAGGCAGACAGTGGAGATGCTCTGTACAGAGACAGATTCAGCTCCTTTACAATGCTCTGCGTTTATGTTCATTCTGTAGCCCTGTGAGTTGTGAATGTGAGCTTGTATGTCCCTTGCTGAAACAAAGCACCCCCTTTTTCATTGACACACTAGTAAATAATATGAAAACAACCGCTAGGGATAATAGACTCTCTGAAATAATCTGGTTTGTCAGATTATCAACTGAGCTGATCTTGGTGTCTCCACAACCCTTGTACTGTGTTTGGGGATGAAACCACCTCAAATTCTTCAGCTGTAAGTTGTGCCTAATGGCACTTTCTGTATATCCCATTAATACTGATGTCATAAATTAGTGGTGCCAGCATCTTATTTGAATTTAAAGGAGACATATTATACCCTATTTCAACAAGTTAAACTAGGTCCCTGGTGTCGGCACGCTAACGCTAACATGCTCACGCTAACACTCACGCTACCACAACGTCTGCCACAGATAGGCGGAATAAGCTGAGGTGGGTGGAAACATGCAGGTGAAAGGCTGTAATATTATAATGACCTAGACCTAATGACGTCATAAACTGCCAATTCCTGAAACCGCTTGATTTATCTCCTGTATGGAGACTGAGTCCTTTTTTTCACACTTTGCCTGCTGAAAGGCCCTCCACAGTCCCAAATGTACATAATCAAATGATTAAAAACTTGGTTTTGCATAATATGTCCCCTTTAAAGTTGGTGATGAAGTAGATACTGTGCTTATGCACTGATTGTAAAAGAAAAGGTATGCTATAACTGTTTCAGACAGACATAGCTCAGTTTCTAACCAATCGGAAAAAAAATGTCTGTTTTTTGGTGAAAAACTGTACTTGTTACTGATCAAAGGAAAGCTCAACTTACATGTAATTTTCTTGTGTAAATCAGTGTAAATGTATGTTCTAGTTTTTTTTTTTTTGTCAATACAGTGCCGTCTCCTGCCCAAATAGAATATTAGTTGAACTTCAAACTTGTTCATTTTTCTAACTCGTGTGCAAGCCCATGTAGAGTGGAAAAACTAAAGTATGATTTGTGATATGTTTTTGTCTTCAACAGGTGGGGGACATGGTAAAAGTGACCAAGATCAATGTGAACGGCCAGTGGGAGGGTGAGTGTAAGGGCAAACGAGGGCACTTCCCGTTTACCCACGTCCGACTGCTGGAACAGCACCACTCTGACGATGAGAGCTGAGAGACGCTAGCCCTCCTGGCACATCAGGCATCCTTTGGAAGCTTTGTTATTCTCTGAAAGGAAATAGATTCATACAAGCAGACGGTCTACAAGCTGAAACGGTCGAGCTATGCCAACATGTTGGCTTACCTCACCTATTGTCATATTGATGGACTTCACACATACTAAGAGTTTACATTAAGGTCATTGGTTTGCCCATATTAGCTTTTTAGTTCCTCTTTTCAAGCCAACCTAACTAGACATCACTGTCTGCACATTTAAAGCCACAGAAACTATTTTACTCTGTAAAGATGTTGGTATTTGTTTTGTTTTTTTCTTCAGTCCTCCTGCTTGGCTCAGGGGTAGACTGTAGCTTTTCTTACTCAACTAATGAATGAGCCGCTTTGTAAGTCCTGTAGTCAGTGTTTGTGGAACAAGACCTTGTAGTTCTGTGCTTTTTCACCGAATCTTTTGAATCCAGTTGTTTGTCAAACGGGGAAACAACTGGCACAGAAATGTGCTTGAAATGTTGGGTTTTAATGTGATTTCAGTCATAACTTGGAACGCATTGTTTGTCGTTTTTGGACTGTAGATTGTAGCAGCCACTGGATGTATTTTTAGACCGCAGAACAAAGCACAAATTCAACATCTAAGCCACTATTAATCATGTAAAATTTTCAAGATTACATCCAAATAGATTTTTGAAGGTAATTTTATACAAGTGCGAAAGAATTTGGTAAGAAGGATGCCACCTTCTTTCATTGAAATTGGATGTTTGTTGATCTCCTGTCCAATTCCTCTGCAGGGATAATTAGTTTGTTATCCTGTTTGATTATCACAATTAGACGTTAAACAATAGTAAGCAAAGCTGATTTAAACAATTAAATTATCCTTTTTGTTGAAGTCCCAAAAAATTAGATGAACTGTTTGTAATTGGTTCATTGAGTGCGTTTAACCTGGTACAAGGCAGGAAAACATCTGTTTGCTATATATAAATCTTTGTTGATCTAATACAGGGTTCAGTTGGAGCAAATGAAGATGCTTAAAACTGCATATTTCTTCAGAAAATATCTCCTGGTTAAGGAGGGGGAGCTTTGATTGCAAAGAATTGCAAACAGCCAGCACCAAAAAAACTGCATTTTTCCTTGCTCACTCAGAATTAACCAAATACTGGCCTTGATTTGCCCCTTACCTCATTTTTGCTCCTTCTGATCAAATTCAGAGATGACTTCACAAACTTTAAAACACTCCTTTCAAACCCCCAAAAAACAGAAAATAATATGATAGGTTTGACTATATGTATGGCTTACATGCTAAATATTAACATTTTCCCAGGTTTTTTTTTTAATTTATTGTCTTTTTTTTATTGCTTTCACTTTTTGATCCCAGAAAGTGTACATGAAATATTTTGTCCTTCTTTTAAGTTACTACTGCATGCCATCACAGTTGACTTGTAATGCGCCTTTGTGAAAGAACAAAATGGCCATTTTACACGTGATGTAAAAAATGTTAAGGATTCGATTTTTATCCTCCCAAAGAGTTATTTGTTCTGAGACGCAGTTAAGTTTTAAAAAACTTTTTTTATTACACCTTAAACCTTGATTGTAGTGGACGTTTATTGTAAAAAAAAAAAAAAACTATCCATTCACTTTTATTTCTCCTCCCTTAAGTTGCCATTAATTAGTTCAGGTGTGGGTCTGTTGGAATCAGCTCCAAATTGATCCAAAACACAATCTGAAGTTGAAAAATAAAAACTTAAACACTGTTTTTCGCACATAAAAACTCCTTTGGTTGTAGCCTTATCTTTTGTGATTGGTAGGATACATTCAAGTTGGGTTATACCTGTTATTCCCCAGTTTTAATCATTTTCCTCGTGATGTATCAAATCATAAAATGCCTCATCAGACTGGCAGTCTGAGTCATATGTTGAGCCTGTAAACTCTCTCTATGTTTGTCACTTAGGAGTGTCTTCTAAGTCTCACCCTCTCTACCTCTTGTTTTTTTTTTTTTTTCTTGTTTTTTTTTTAAATGAGGAATTTTGAATAGGAACCGAAACTGAACATCACAGAGTGCTGCCATCAATACATTTGGGCTTTTTACATCAGAAGTCCATTGTGTGTCCTCCTATTTTGGTCAGATGAGTCATTTTAACACATTAACACGTATTCATTTTGTGTGTAATTTGATGGTGTCAAAGCCATGTGGTGATTATTCCTTTTATGTCTTCTTGCTTTAAGTCATCCTTGTATATGTGAGGATCAACAACTCGTGTTGTGTTAAAAAATGCATGTAAAAAGGAGCACAAGCCCCCTGTCAGGTCAGAGATTGTAGAAGATGAAAGCTTCTTTACATCTGCATATGTGTCTTACCCCAGATTTGAAAAATGTCTTCAGTTTACATTTTAGAAATTTGTAAATAAAGAAAAAGAACAATTTTATGTTTCTTTTGATAGTCTAAATTTTATTGAAAGTATTTTTGTACACTACATCAGTGCCACATTTTATTGCCATAATCTGCTTATTACTCAATTTTACCCATGTACAGTTTATAGCACTGCATATAATATATGAATAAATACATGCAATATACCTTTATATTCCCTACATTCCATTATTCTTGAGGTGACTTGTATGTGGTTACACAGGCATAGTGATGGTACAATTCTGAACTGAGGTGTTAAGTGTCACTTAAAAACAGCATCTAATTTATATTGTTTAAAATATTTCTTTGTGCACATTAATGAGCAGGGTTTGAGTAGTTGTACATTCAAGTATATTATTTGGGTATTAAAATGCTCAGCTTGCTCCAGTTGTCACTGAGAAGGAAGAATGGTTCTCCCTTAATCATGATTGTGCCAACTGGGCCCCAACATTTTACAACTGTTAGCTAATTTTTTACTTGTAATATGCACCTTGTCTTATCTTCAGCTCAAGGGAAAAGTCTGATCATGCCAAATGCTGTCTCTTTTTTGTTTCTTTTATATTGATCATATGTTTTTCTTCCATTTGACTCAGATCTGAACAGGGCCACAAGAATAAAAAAAATATTTTATTTAACCTTTCCAATATGCAAAAATGTAATGAATTATGTTATTTTGATCTTGGGATTTTTTTTGTAGCATGCAATGTGTTAATATACTTGGTAAATAAAAAAAAAGAATATCAATAAATTTACTATCATCATCTATTCCAATTAAAATTAGTCTCAAATTGGGTAATCAAAGCGACGTTTTCTTTTTTTTTCCAATTTCAAATTAAATTAAAAAGCATTTATGAAATGGCAAATTATTAGAAGCTCGAAAACCAACTGACTCTTATATGAAATTCCAATCTCCATCCACACCATGCATGGGGCAGTGGGGAGGCTAGCCCTTGTCTCCACTGCCTTGAAGAAACAAGAACAGAAACCTTCAGCAGAACCAGACTGGAAAAGCAGCCATGTACCTTAAATGGTTCAAATGTGAGAAAACAGAACAATGAAATGAAAATATCAGACCTGGGTGCCTGTCTTCTAAAGAGGACATACAAATCCTTAAAACAATAGCCTAATTCTGACCACAGCTAATCTGTTTACTCGAATAATATAATGCTTATCTAATACTTCCAGTTTGTATATGTGAGTTTAAGCTGGGAAACTTCTAATACCTGCAGGACAGCGGCTCTCGAGGACCAACTTTGGGTACCCCCATAAATAAAAGACATATAATAAATATAATTTAATTAAATAATAAAGAAATTTACATCCGCAATTGAATTGAAATAAAATGTAAAAAAAATGAATAAGACTGATATTTATATTGTTATGGGGTTAATGAAAATGACTTAAAGTGGAGCAGTGTTCATTCACTTTTTTTGTTTGACATTTATTTCAGTGTATCAATATAAAAGTAGAATTCCTGTGCGAAAACAATAAAGTCCTGTGTGAGTCCTGTTTTGAGACGTCTTACAGACGGCCTGACAGGCGTCTTATGTTGGAAATTTACTTCGGGGTAGAGTCAAATGAGTGATCGAATTTCACTTCGTATGTTGGAAAATGTGTATGTTTAAGCAATCGTGATGTTAGAATTTGGCTATAATTACTCACTTTAGCATTGTATGCTATAGCATAATCCATGTAAATAACTGTGTGGTGATCCTGTTCTTTGGTTCCTATTGATTGTTTCAGGCTGGGTGGGATCAGGGTGGATGCCTGTGTAGCAACACACCTGCAGCCTGTTGGCAATCAGGCACCCTTTAAATGCCTGCACTCTCCAGGTTTCCGAGGCCAGATGATTGCCTCTCAGAGGATCGATTTGACGGCTTTCTTGCGACCTGTGTTGTCTTGTCCTTTCCGTTCAGCATTTGTTTTGGATTGACCTTCAGCCCGCCTTCAAGCCCTACTCCCCAAGGACACCTCATTCCCCTATTGGACCTTTGACACCTCCACCTGGATCCTGTTATACCCCTTCCTCCAAACCAATAAATCAACTGTTCCTTTATCCAGCAGTTCTGTGTTTGCCTTTGGGTCCAGTCCTCACATAGTTCTTAACAAACTGATTGTCTTATTCATTTTAGGCCTTTTTTGTAAGAACTAACTGACCAATAGCACTCAGTCGTGTCCACTCCTCCTTTTGAAGGGGCAGGCCCAGCTCAGAAGATAATTATCCATAACAGGGCTCTTTGCCAGTTTAGACCCTCAGGGGAACTATGTTTGTGAGAGCCCAGCACTGATATACCTGTGACACAATAAATGTTATTTGTTTAAAAAATAAAAGCAATATTTAAATGTTTTTTTTTTTATTACTAATAATTACATCACTGTAAAATAATAATTGTAATCATCAATACGAATTGAAAGCTTCAAAGTGCTTCAAAGAGATCAGTACCGCCCAACCGCGACTCAAGAAATTGGATTAGAACGGAATTAATTCCGTAATGGCAACCTAAAGCTGCATAGCTTCTACCTTCCTTTAGCATGTCCAGAAGTTACATTTTCCTACAATAGTTAGCATCTTACTTTGCCTTTTAGGCCCGATGGCATGTCGGTGCAGAACGTTTTGTCGACAATATGGGTTTTGGAGAAAATTTACAAACTTAAATTTGGCAAACTGTTTTACGAACAAGTACATGTACACCTTAAACCGTAACGTTACTGTCACACAGGTATATAAGGAGACTATTTGGCCAATCAGAATGCAGAACAAACTGCACAATGCAAATCCGTGAAACAGCAAGAACGTGAAAGGTGAACTGCGTTATAACTAACTATCAAAATTCCCAAAATCACTGAAATATACATCAAAGAGGATTTTTGTGTTACTTCAAAGGAATGATTAAAAAGTAGGTCAAATTAAACTACATCACATTCCATGACTTCACAACCAAAATTGCACTTGCACTCACTTTCAGTCAAAAGATATCACACTTTGCATTACAAATCCAGAAATAAGCAGCATTCGCGAAGATATGCACAAAACAGGATTTTGCTATGGAAATACAGAAATAAGCTCCTTTCGCCAAGAGATGCACTAAACAGGATTTTTCTATAACTTCCCAGTAATGAATACAATCTAGGTCAAATAACTTTCAAAGTGTTATTTAGAAAATCCCCTGCCTTGTCAGAAAGAATCACACTGGTAATAACTTGCAGTCAAAAGATATCACATTATCAACTAGAAGATTTCTGAAGAAATTTTGGAGGGGGGCCACCCGCTGCCCGTCCGGGAACCCGGGGCGGGTCGGCCAATCCATATTTGGGCTCTCTGTAATGTGGGCTCGCGCCTATGAGAGGGCCTGAGGGAGAGACGCAGTGATGGAGGGACCCGGCTGAGCTCTGGGGCCCGCTGACCGAATGCGGATGGGGGGGGCAGGTCGGGGGTCACGTTGGCTGAAAGCTGAGAAAAAGACCTACGCAACGAGGTATGACATGGCCCCGGTCCGGTTCCGACCCGGTTGGGTCCTATCCCTAGAACCAGAACCAGAACCGGGCTCTGACTAAAGCCCTCTAAGCGGGCTTCGCCCGCCTTGAATCACAAATATTGTATTTCTTTAAAAATCATTGAGAGCGGGCTTCGCCCGCCTTGAACCAAGAGTATGACAGGGCCCCGGTCCGGTTCCGACCCGGTTGTGTCCTATCCCTAGAACCGGAACCAGAACCGGGCTCTGACTAAAGCCCTCTAAGCGGGCTTCGCCCGCCATGGTAACAAAAAATACTGTATTTCTTAAAAAATCACTTAGAGCGGGCTTCGCCCGCTTTTTGCCAGTATCACTGTCTTAGTTAAATCTTTCTAAGCGGGCTTCGCCCGCTTTTTGCCAGTAGCACAGCTCACAGAGCCCTGCAGAGAGCCACAGGGCTGCTGTGGGTCTCTGGTGGTCGCCACGGCGACGGCAGCCTGGTGCCAATTCTGAACATTCTAAACTGCCACACCTGTGACTTATCACTGACACAGACCCAACTGACAGATGGATCAAAAGTATCCTCCGAACGGCTGTACGCTGTTCGAAAACTATATCACAAAACTTAAAAATTCTTGGACCGTGAGCGCCTACAGAGTTTAAGGTCGAATCCAATGTATTTTATTTTCGGCTGCTCCCAGCGGTTATTTTTTTATGGCAATTTCAAAATGAGGGCCGTTTTCTCTCTGGCGAAAAAAATCTCTCCTTTTTTCCATTCAAATCCTATTAGAGAGGTTTGTGAAAGTCTGGACTCTGGGCCCGATTGCCGGACAACCGTAAGGCCGAGGTCCAAAGCGGGCACATCGGGCGAAAGAGGACACTCGCGGCTACGTTTTGAGGCCATTTTGGCACCGCTCGGCCCCACGGTTTGGTCGGGAGGGGCAATAGTTTGACTTTTTTTCGGTGAGCATCCCGACAGCCCTCTGAGAGGCTTTAACGAGCATAGTTAGAGTGAGGGGAAAATTCTCAGATTTTCTGAATTTCACTAAAACGTCAACAGCGATTGCGGGCAAACGGTGCGAGATCTGGCCTCGTGGCTCCAATATGGCGGAGGCCCATCTTTCGTGTCCCGTTCAATGTTCGAACGACGTCTCTCGGACGTCGTGGGCCAGAGCGATGAGGCCCTCACGGGCCTCATCTTTCGGCTTTTTTTGTGCCCTTTTTTCTGCGTCCCCCATGCATTCCTATGGGAAAACGCTCGCCACTTTTTCACCGTTTCCTCGGAAACGCCCGCTCCTTTGAGAAAGTTTTGAACAAGCACGCATGGCTAGGTGGGTCCGAACGCGCGTGCCGACTTTGGGCCCGATCCGTCGAACCGTGCGGGACGAGAAGCGGTCCGCGGAAACGGGAGAACTATAATAAGCCACAGAACTAGAAAATTTCTGAAGAAATTTTGGAGGGGGGCCACCCGCTGCCCGTCTGGGAACCCGGGGCGGGTCGGCCAATCGATATTTGGGCTCTCTGTAATGTGGGCTCGCGCCTATGAGAGGGCCTGAGGTGATGGAGGGACCCGGCTGAGCTCTGGGGCCCGCTGACCGAATGCGGATGGGGTGGGCAGGTCGGGGGTCACGTTGGCTGAAAGCTGAG